AGTTTGTGGAGCCCTGCTCTGTGTTGTCAGAACTCCGAAAGCATTGAAAGTATGTTCATCACTGGACAGGAGAAGGTGGGCATGAAGAAGCCAGAGCCGCAAGTTCAATACACACATAGGAGCCTGAACAGAAATGGGCAAGTCAAAGTGAGAATGGAAAAGCAGGAAGCCGGGGAGTCTACATCACATACATATAGAGAAATTAAAATGGGGTCATGCAACACAGACACATTATGTATCCAACATACTACAATAGAAGCCTTCCTGCAGGGAATGGAAATGTTATGTGAGGATTGGGAGATAGAAAATTTTTTATGTTATTAATTTTTTAAAATTTATTTTACATACCAACCACAGTTTCCCCTCCCTCCTCTCCTCCTGTTCGCAACCCCCCACCTCCTTTCAACCCTCACCCCATCCACTGGAGATAGAAATTAATCAAGAAACCCAGTGCTAGACCAAAGATGGTAATGGCCCTGTTACAGGCACAGAACTGACTCAGGCCTCTGTCTCTTGGAGAAATTTGGCTTCCTCCAGCCATTGTTGCTGTCAACTGCCCTACTGGAGCCACTATTATCCCCATCTCTGCTCCACATTAGACTAACAAGCCCATCTGCATCTACTTTCACTTTCTTTGTGAGCCATTCTTTGGGGGAGATGCTGGGGGTTGAACCCAAGACTTCATGCATGCTAAGCAAACACTCTACCGCTGAGCTATACTCTCAGCTCTCCTCTTAGGTAATCTACAGAAGGGCAAGAAGTGATCTAAAGACATCAGCCGGATATTTCTTTTTAAGACAGCATTTAAGTGAGGGTGCTGTGTTATTTTACTCCGAGAAGGAAGTCACTTTTGTCTGTACCATCTATTAAACTGTTGATTTCTTTCCTATTGATTTTCAAAGCAAATATCCATGATTTTGAGCATCTCTTCCAATACCTGCTCACTTTTTGGATTTCTCCTTCTGAAGGTTACAGATTCAAGTCTTTGAAATTTTTTTATGTTGACATCTTTTTTTAAAGATTTATTTTTATTTGTGTGGGGTGTGTGGGTGTGGGTGTAACACGTGTGTGGGTATCCTCAGAGATCAGAAGGTGGTGACAGATCCCTACTGGAAGTTGTGAATTGCCCAGCATAGGTATTGAGAACAGCAAGTGCTTAACTACTGTGATCCTCCATCTTCACCAAGGTCATTTTTTTCTTGTGAATTATTTCTTCATGTATTAGATATTAACCATCTGGTGATGTGCAAATGCATTTGCACAAATATTCTGTCAGTTAACATTTTCTGCTGCATGGAAATGTTTGATCTTTTTCTCCTTTGTTGTTGGTTTTTTGTTCTTTTGTTTTTTTTTTTTTTAGTCTCATGTAGTCCAGGCTAGCCTTGAATTCCAACTGTATCTAGGGATGACCCTGAACTTCTGATCCTCTTGCCTCTACCTCCCAAGTGGTAAGATTACAACATTTGGTACCATGCCTGGCTTAAAATATTCAAATCTTATTCAGTCTAATTTAGAAATTTTTTTTTTTTTTTTGGTTTTTCGAGACAGGGTTTCTCTGTGTAGCTTTGAGCCTTTCCTGGGACTCACTTGGTAGTCCAGGCTGGCCTCGAACTCACAGAGATCCGCCTGGCTCTGCCTCCCGAGTGCTGGGATTAAAGGCGTGCGCCACCACCGCCTGGCCTAGAAATGTTTTCTTTATGGTTAATGATTCCAAAATGTTAAATAAATAAATAAATAAATAAATAAATAAATAAATAAATAAATAAAAACTTTTTCTCCAGGGTCTAGAGGTATCTCTCTCACTGGTGGAACACATTTTTAATATGTATGAGGCCCAGTGCCCAATCCCAGCACCAACGAAAAGAATGGGGAAAGAAATCCTTTTCCGTTGCTAGAACACATATATTGTCTTCTATTAGTTTTCTATTTGATGTTCCATGTGTCAATCTTATTTGTCTTCTTATGTAGCACTAAGTGAAGTCCTCTTTTTTATTTCTGTGTAATCCTCCATGTCTGCATATCATCTGTTAGAAAGTTTGTGTTTTTCCTGTTGATCTGCATTGCCAAGTGTGTGTTTGTGTGTGTGCGTGTGTAATTATGTGTGACACACATATATGTGCACCTCCCAGTATTGAGATAATAGGTATGTGTTTCTACGCTTGGCCTTTTATAAAGATGTATTTTTTTTTCACTTTTTAAAAAATTATGTATATATGTGTACGTCTATGTGTGGGTTTGTGCAGGCTCCCAGAAAAAAGGTGAAGGACCCCTAAAGCTGGAATTATGGATGGTGGTAAGTTGTGCTGGGAACCAAACTTGGGTCCTCTGTGAGAATAATACATTGTCTTAACCACTGAGCCAGTCCTCCAGCCCTGTAATGACATTTTATCATGTATTAAGCTCCCTTAAATGACAAAGGTTTTTGGCCGGGTGGTGGTGGCTCACACCTTTAATCCCAGCACTCGGGAGGCAGAGGGAGGTGGATCTCTGTGAGTTCGAGGCCAGCCTGGGCTACAGAGTGAGTTCCAGGAAAAAGCTCCAAAGCTACACAGAGAAACCCTGTCTCAAAAAACAAACAAACAAAAAAAGACTAAGGTTTTGCTAGGCATGGTGGCACATATCTTCAATACCAGCACTTGGGAGGCAGAGGCAGGAGGATCTTTGTGAGTTTGAGGCCAGCCTGGTCTACATAGAGAGTTTTAAGACAGTCAAGACTAAATACAGAGACCCTGACTCAAAAGACAGAAATGAAACAACAACAACAACAAAAGACAAAGGTTTTTCTCCGACCCTTTTGTTTCCACTGAGCCTATTCTCGGTTCAACAATATTCCATTTGTATTAGTGTGGCTTTGTAACTGATCTTAGCGTCAGCAGAGTAAGGCTCTCCTCTTCAACATTAGTATCTAAAGGTATTTATTGGGAAGAGGAAATTGGACCAGCGCTAACAGCATCTTTTTGTTTACTGAAGTTTTTCATTTCCACCCATCAAGTCAGGTACAATTTCCCTATTTACTTCTAGATTTTGAACCTTGTTTTGGAAGATCCTTCCCACCTCAATATTATAGGAATATATTTTATGGAATATATTTTAAATCATCTATAGGTTTAATGGTCAGCTAGTTCGCCTCTCTGGGATTTATTTTGTCATTAGGTAGCCTGGCTCTAACTTTCCTCCAAACAGTGAACACCGCCCCCATAACAAATAGTCTATCCTTTTACCACCAATGGCCGGGCAGTGGTGGCGCACGCCTTTAATCCCAGCACTCGGGAGGCAGAGGCAGGCGGATCTCTGTGAGTTCGAGGCCAGCCTGGTCTCCAAAGTGAGTTCCAGGAAAGACGCAAAGCTGCACAGAGAAACCTTGTCTCGAAAAAAACAAAAAATAAATAAATAAAAATAAATAGTCTATCCTTTTACCACCAATGCAAAATGCATCTTTTATTGTGCAGTAAAATTCCATATGCGCAGAGAGATGCTCCTGGGCTCGGCTTCCTTTATGGAAGGCGCTGGACTTGAGAGGTTGTCACCAAGGATGGGAGACAGCAGATGCCTTTGAAAAGGAGAGAGGCTGATGGCCAGTCACCAAGCTTCAGCCTGGGGTGCAGGTGACATCAGATAAGATGGGAAGGCAGGGACATGCCCCTGAAGCCATGTGAAGCTCAAAGGTGAGGATCGTTTGGTTGAGGTGGAGCGGGGCCAGCTGTACTAAGAACATACAGATATACGCTTGTCCAGAGAGGGCTCCCAGGCCAAGAGGCTTCTTGTGAGAGGACAGACCCTGAGGATCAGCTGAGAACAGTGGCCCTAACCTGGCCACTAAGGAGATTTGAGGCTCTCTGCTCACTGGGGAGGTGGGAAGCCAGCTGGAAAGGAGCGGGATCCCTTCGTCTGTTTCCAGCATCACCTCCATGGAAAGAGACTACAAGAGGAGCAGCTGGGGGGTCTAGCCTGGAGTGGCTGGTGTGCTCCACAGCAGAGTCCTAGTCAGGGTTTCCTGAGTTGGTTTGGAGACTCGCTGGGTGAGAGCTGGGGTTAGCCAGACTTCACTCTGTCAAGGGTCATAGGTGACAGTTCCTCTTTGTCTTGCATTCCTGACACATCTATGCTCACTTCCACCTTCTCCAGAGTCCTCAGAAGGGACAACTGATCATTGAATTCAGTTCCACCCTGACCCGTCCCCTCTACGATGACCTCTTGTCTCCTTCCAGAACCTTCCTGGGTAGTCAGCTCAGAAGTAGACACACAGCAGGCAACAATGACTTTTTATGCCTCTGTCCACTGGGTCCACGCAGTGGGAGGTTATAGGCTCCACCTAGGTCAGAAGTGCAAGGAAGAGCGTGGAGGAAGAAACTTCCACCACAACTTGCCTTAGTTCCAACTGTTTAATCCAACTGGTTTAATCCAACTGAAAGTAAAGGCGTTGCTCTTGAGGCACTGGCAGATGATGAGGAAATTGCCAGAATGGATGGGGTGGCTGGAGTGTGCATGGGGATGGGACATATAGACGGGCGTCTGTAGCCAGGAGAGGACCAAACGCTAAACATGAGGAAGGTCTTGGAGTGGTGGGTCAGCCCTCAGCAGACCTCACGGGAAAGGATGGAGGGGCAGAGGAAAAGGAGTCGGGAAGACTCCCTGGCTTTGTGGACTGCGAGGTGCTGTGGTCAGGTTGCCACAGCAACTCCCGATCTTCCTACTGTCCTGTCCTCTATTTTCTGATGTCCTGACTATTTCCCTCTGCTAAGTGGTTCCTACATCACTTCCCAATCACTCCTCTGCTTCAACATCAACCAACCTTTCCTTCTAAAAGTCCAACTCTGACCATATTGTTCTCCTGCTCAGAAACCATTGATGGTTCCCTATTGCCTGGAGACTAAGTCTAAATGTAAACTGCAGCTTTTGAGAGGCCGCTCTAAGGCCAGGGTTTATAGAATGCTGTCACACAACTAAGAACCGGCTTGGGGGAGCAGAGAAGGAGGTGACAGGCCCTACTTCCCTTCCAGGTTTGTCCTTCCCGGCTCCCACATCCTCCTATATGAGATAATATAGAGGAGATACCACGGTAACTCATGTAAGTCATTTGCATGCCTAAGCAAACCCTGCCCTTGTTCCTTCTGTTCCGGCCTCCTAGGGTGCCTTTCCCTCCCATCACAGCTGTTGAAATCCTATTCTATAAGGCCCACATCAGATGTTATCTCCTCCATGAAGCCTTCTTGGACCCAGGCTGCCCCTCCCTGTGTCCCTCAGCCAGGTACTAGTTGTATGTCACAACTGAGAACCACGGAGTTTCTCAAACATGGAGGATTTACGTTGATTCTTCTAGGACCCTTACCAACCTAAAGAGATCTGGACCTTAGAACGACTCAGGGGTTAAAGTATCTGGCTCCCCAGCCAGACTCTGAAACTTTTAGGTCTGGGGTTTCTCTGTTTAGTACCATGTATACAGCAAGTGCTCACTAGGCGCATGAACTTAGTTGAATTTGTAAAGTTTATTAAAGGATGTGGGCATCGTATTTGCATCCACGGCAATGGGGTTTATGACAAGAGAAGCTTCAAGGCCATTAGGCTAAATAAAGGGCCTGTCCTCTCTGGGGAGCCAGACAACCAAAAAGATACTGCCGACCACCTCCCACAAGTTCCCGTGTTCAGGTCTCACCTGTAGTTCCAAAATACATCCCATCTATGGGCCAGAAAAGCCGGTTGTTAAGCCTCCGGCAAGAGCCCAGACAGGAAACTCCCAGTGAGAATTCGGGCAAGCCAGAGGTGAGCCAACACAGGCAGAGATAAGAATCATGGAGGCAGGGCAGCACATCCTCCAAGCTGTGTAGTGGAGACTAGCAGGGGCTGGTACTCTCTCCTCACAGGCTGCCCAGGAGGCTGGTAGAGGTCACGGCCCTGGACCCTCCCTCTTCTCAGCATGGCCAGCTGGGGCAAGCGTTTTCTTTCTTCACCCTCTAATGTAAAGACCTGAATTTTGGTCCTTATATCTTGAGAAGTTTCTGTCCACAGCTCCGGGAACATCAAGCCATGGTCCTGAGGCAGAGCATCTATTCACCTCCCAGAGGAGCAGCCATGCATCCATCTGCATGAACTGGAGAGACAGGGCTTTCCTACATCTTGGCAGAAACATGCCAAAATCCCAGAATGTTCCTTCTACCATCCTGTGTCCATAATCTGGTCATTCTGAGCAACTGGGGCTTCAGGCTGCTGACCGCAGTGACCAGAGCCCTGACTAGATTCTGCATTTGCAAGATCTGAAGACCTCTGTGATTCCTTTGGTCCTGAGACCTAGGCCCGGCAGCACAAATGTCCACCCACTTTAACCCCTCCCTGAGCTGTCTCAGGCACTGCCCAGGGGCGGCCAGGAGGGTGGAGCTCTGAGTCAGAGTATAAGTTCCCAATTTTACCATCCAGCTGGAGAGCCGCCACGATGCTTCAGAACCAGATGCCTGCTTGGGTTTCCCACTCCCTTCCAGATCCATGCCAAACAGAAGATGGCAGGTATTTGGCCTCCTGTGCCTTGAAGGTGAGAGTACAGTGGTCGTGGCGGGGAGGCTTGGCCAGAGGCAGATGGCCAGTGAAACATACCCAGGAGATGAAGAGTCTGAGGCCACAGGGAAGCAGCCAGGTCCCAGGGAGGCTGGTGGGCATTGTAGACTAAAGAGGTTGTCTTAGGATCCTCTACCTAGCACCTGGGAAAGGTGCTTTAGCCCAGTCTGGACCAGGGCTCCTGGCTAGGAATGGAACAGCTGAGTATACTCAGAAGCTTTCCCAGCCTGCATGCAGAGACTCGGGGCCATCTCGGGCCAGCCAAGCCAGCATCCAGGATAGACAGTGTCTAGTACCGCCAGAGAGAATCCACATGTGGCCTGTCCTGGTAGTGACTGGTTATTAACCCCGTGGGCATCCTAAACTTCTGTGCTTTGTGAATGTGTGGCATGGGCTATTTTGAAGTAGGAGAATTGATGATACTGCCAGTTCACTGCTATCAGTTGCCCCTCTGGGTGTGTAGTCAAGGACCATAGACCTAGACTAACTCTCAAAGTCTCTCAGGGAAATCCCTGGGTTTGGCAAGGTGCTACTTCTTGAGAACCAATCGGCCTTAGTTTTCCTGTCTGGGCAATGGGAAGATGCCCTCCATCTCTCTGTTGGCTATAGACATACTGTGGAGAGGACTATCAGTAGCAAAGTAGTGCCCTTGGCCAGCCCTTACTAAACCACTTAAGGAACTGAATGAAACCCCGAGAAGGTTTTGTCCCTTTAGAGTGGGAAATGGAGACACTGGTCAGTCTCCAAAGAGCCTAGGTAGGAGCTCGCTGTGGCACTGGGACAGTCTGCCTTGCTGTTCTGAACAGGACTGACATTGCCTCCTGGTTTTCCCCCAGAAGGCTTGGGTGTCTAGAAGGGCTTCTAATCAGCACTTGTTCTTTGCTGACCTTCCAGAAATTTGGGCTAGGACAGATCTACCACAGATAGGATAGAGTTTACCTCAAAGAGGGGCAGTGAGGCAGCCAAGACTCAGAGTGGGGGCTCCAGGAGACACACACACACACACACACACACACACGCACGCACGCACGCGCGCTATGCTGTTCCTGTTGGGTCCTAGATGGTCTATGTCTCTCAGCTGTATTTCTTGCCCTGACCACTCACCTAACATGAGTAATAAGCAAAACAACTATGGGGATCCCTCTCATGTGACCCTCCTCCCCCAGTATGGGATGTTGCTCAGATCTGCTGAAACCTGTTCTAGAGTTTCAGATATCACTATCCGGATGGTCTGCTGTGAAGGAGGGACCATGTAGACCGGAAGCTATCACCAGGCTGCTCAGAGCTCTGATACAATGTTTCAGGGAACCAAGAACTACATCCAGCTGTGAGGAGATGAGGTGGCCTCACCTGTGCAGCTTACCCTCAGATGCCCCAGAGAAAGGAGCTGTCATCCTCTCTCCAGGCATTCAGGCAATGGTTTAGGGAGGGGATGCCTAGCCTGGATGGACATTGGACCCATCACTTCTGAAACTTAGTGGTCAAACTCTCCTTAGGCCCTGTCATCCAGGAACCTTCTGGTCGAGATGAGGGGAAGCTGTCTGTAATGTAACTAAATAGCTTTGGATTGATTAGAAAGAGCTGGGCTCTTGGATCTGGGGAGAACCCCAAGTAGAGGGAGCTGAGGGTCTTATGGTTGCCTCTGACATTAAACTGCCTGCTCATGGCCATTCTTTATGGACAGCCAGAGCCACTCTCCAGTTGGAAAGCAAGCAAACCAGCCTGGCGAGGTGGTAGGTTCTCCCTGAGTCCTGGGTCCTACCTAGCTTCATCATCTCTGGCTGTGCAAGCCTGGGTGATGTGTAACTTCCCTAAACCTGTCTGTGCTTCTGAAAGTCAAGGATTATGTCTTCCTTGGAGGCTGGCCAGAGGGCTAAGTAAGACCCTCTACAAGGCAGCTGGTTCTAGGGCAGGGGCAAGCACTGGGTTGGCATACCAGATGACAGCAATATATTTCCCCACTCCGTCACCCCTCTAAGAGTCCTATCTATGAAATTAGGGAGAGGGGCAGCATTAAACTGTGTAACAGACAATCCATAGCTCTCCCTCCTCCCCTTGTGAGCTGGCAATGTTTCCTGTCTTGAGTAACTCTCAGGAGGAAAGTGGAATCCTGACAAGATCAAGCCAGAGGTCAAGGCCAGGGAGGAAGCCTGGACTGTGCATGTCTGCATCCTGGTTCCTTCTCCCACATGGCTTCCCAGAAAGCTGCTGTCCATCGTCTTCCCTGGCACAGCTGTGCTGATTGTTCCAGAGGCTGGATGAACCTCTGGACTGTTTGTCCCAAAGTTCCTGCCTTGACCTCCAAGCCCCTGAGTGCTCCCTGCTCCTCACCCAGGGCTTGCCAAGTGCCCTCTGAGCTGAAGGAGTATGCCTGTCTTTACCCCAGGGATGTAGCCCCAAAGCACCTGGTGATGCCTGTAGTTAAATATTTTGACTTTCGGCCTTATACCCAGTCCCAGGCAGGGGTGGCTTGTCCAGGTCCCTAAGGTTTTGGCTAGTGTACCAGAGCTCCTTAATCTGACCGGTTTCTGGTTCCCATTAGCATATTCCCATCAGCATATCAGCTCAGGAACTGTACTGAGTTCTATGGCATCTTTAAAAAAAGTTTGTTTTTAGCCGGGCGGTGGTGGCGCACACCTTTAATCCCAGCACTCGGGAGGCAGAGGCAGGCGGATCTCTGTGAGTTCGAGGCCAGCCTGGTCTACAGCGCAAGATCCAGGAAAAGTGCAAAGCTACACAGAGAAACCCTGTCTTGAAAAACCAAAAAAAAAAAAAAAAAAAAAAAGTTTGTTTTTATTTTATTTGTAGGACTGTTTTGCCTGCGTGTATGTTGGTGTACCATATGCACGCCATCCTCTAGAAGGCCAGAAACAGGTGTCAGCTCCCTTGGAACTAGAGTTGTCGACAGTTGTGGGCTGCCATGTGGGTGCTGGGATCAAACTTGGGTCCTCTGGAGGAGCAGCCAGTGCTCTTAGCCACTGAGCTATCTCTCCAGCCCCTCTGTTATATCTTTTTACTGTAGATCAGCTTCCTCTGGGACTGTGAATGTTTGGTCATGTAATACCATTTGTAATAATCTTGTAACATGAGGAGCAAAAGATGTACTTCTTTACCAAACAAAGGTGTGTGTGTGTGTGTGTGCGCGTGCGTGTGTGTGTGTGTGTGTGTGTGTGTGTGTGTGTGTGTGTGTGTGTCCCTGGTTTGCTTCCTGATTCCTGAGATCACAGGCTTTCATCACCCACCACTGGGGACTTCCACCTGGCTCTGTAAATACACCTAGACCCAAGCCTAAGCCCAGTAGTCTCATTTTCTTTCTCTGCATCTCTCAAACCCCTCCAGCATTCCACCTCTGTGCTACTGAGATGTAAGAAGACGTAAAACTCCCTTTGAGGGGCTTCGGAGTTGAGCCTCTCCTAAAATTCTTTTGAGCCAGAAGGAATTTCTAGGTGAAATCTGAAGTTCAAGGTAGACCACAAGGTACCCTCGGTGTCTATTAGTAAAAAAAGTTAGCCGGGCGGTGGTGGCGCATGCCTTTAATCCCAGCACTTGGGAGGCAGAGCCAGGCGGATCTCTGTCAGTTCGAGGCCAGCCTGGGCTACCAAGTGAGTTCCAGGAGAGGCACAAAGCTACACAGAGAAACCCTGTCTCGAGAAAAAAAAAAAAGTCTTCAAGGACCCTGATGGTTGTAATAGGTGTTCTGGGTGCTCACAAAGAGAATGATCGTGGGGTTTGTCTATAGAAACACAGCCAGTAAGGGCACAGCCAGTAGAAAGATTGCCAAGTTTGGGGGTTAGGAGAGAGCTCCATGAGAATTCAGGGTGGAAAACAGGAACTGGCCAGGAAAATTAGTCTTGAGGGAAGATCAAGGCAGTGGAGTTGAGAGCAAGAAGCATCTCAAGTGAGAGCAGACAGTGGGTGTGAACCCGGGACTGAGAATCAGAGGTGAGTTCAAACTCCCACCCACACTGAGAGCTGTGGGTCAAGGGACTCAGTCCCAGGTTCCCCATCTGTGACGCAAAGCGAGTGATCACTGCCTTGTTAGGTTATTAGCTGTAGCACAGGACACCGCAGGATGCTGTGGGCTGCAGACTGAGGGGTGCCCCTGTTAGGGACCTCCATTGTGATGTGGCCAGCCTTGTAAAGCAGGAAAGAACTTCAGGACAAATCGGCATGAAGCTGAGCTGAGTTTATTAAGATGAGAGATGGAAAAAGAGGAAAGAAGGGGAGGGGGAGGGCGAGAGAGACTTGAGGTACTTTAAGTGCAAGAATTGAAAGCAAAGTGTGCCTAAATGGTTGGGTGGTACATGGCTATAATCCCAGCACTTGGGAGGTGGAGGGGGCACAGGAAGACCAGTTCAAAACTAGCCTGAGCTACATAGGAAGTTCAAGGTCAACCAGGGTTACATGAGATCATGTCTTGAAACACCAATTAATACTCTCTAGTGATTATGCATACACATAATGTAGAAATGGTTTGTGGCTTTTAAAGTGATATTGCTTAAAGGATGTAATTTACAATCAGGTTCAAAGATTTCAAAAAGTTTAAAACTTAGGTTAAAAAAATAATGAGCTGGTTTACTTCTTTTCTTTGTTTTAAACAATGTCCTGTTACAAATGAAATTGTAAGACTTATGAGGTTCAGCGTCAGGAGCAAGAAGAGTAATAACTGATATTTAATAACTGATGTTATTAAATCCAAAAACTGCTCACATCCATTTCAGTTTTAAGCAAGCCTGGTCCATGGTAGATTTTTTGTTGGGTTGTTTTGTTTCATTTTGTTAACACTCTTGTTTGAGATGTCTTTGGGGGAAGCTAATTCCATGTAAGCAAATCTCTACTGATTTTGTCAGTTGCAGTCAAACACAAATCAGATTCCGGAGCAAAGGGCCTCTTTTCTTTTCCCATGTCCCTTGAATTTTCCTCGTCTCTCTATACCGCCTCAAGGTGGTAGTAAAACTTAGGCAAGAAAATCCATAGAGAGCTGTACATGGAGGTACATACCTGTAATCCCAGCATCAAGAAGGTAGAGGCAAGAGTTCAAGGCCAGCCTGGGCTACATAGCATCTTGCCTCAAAGAAGCTGTCGTGGTCATCATCATCATCATCATCATCCACCATGACCTCAACACAGCACCTCCACCCTGTGGTAACCCCATGGTCACTGCTGTTGTTGGTATTGTAGGAGAGGGTGACGGAGGAGGAAGAAACAGCCACCCTCACTGGCAGACACTGGGGGGTGGGAGACAGGAGAGAATAGCTCCCACCTGGACTCTGGGTGCCCTCTGAGGAAGTGAGGAGTAGGGCAAGGCTTGCCAGGACCATACACTCCTTCTGAAAGTGATACTTGCCTCCACACTCAGCCAGTCCCAGGACAGTCCCTGCTCTGCCCAGGACAGGATGAGAAATGAAGAGCTCATTTCCTAGAAAGGTCTTGCCACAGGCCACAGACCACAGGCCACAGGCCACAGGCCACAAGGAGTTAGTATTGTGTTTAGTCTTCAGTCCAACTCACAGGGCTCACATCAGAACGCTGTTTGAACAAGGTATTGGCCCCAAAGACTTCAGAGTACTCACAGAGGGGATCCTTGGACCCACAGGCAACTTTAGGGTGGACTCTTGTTCTGTTCCCACAGTGGCAGGGGACCTGTGTTAGTGAAAATATGTTTCCTTGAAGATCAGCCATTCACAGGCAGAGGGAAGAATGAAACAGTCTAAAAACCTGGGATCCTTGAATAGGTAGAGGAAGACTAGGAAGAGAGACATGGTCCTTCCATGTGATGCAGGGACACTTGGAGAGTGGGGAAACATGGTTTGGGGACATCTGGGAAGCAGAAAGTAACAGGATGGAAAAGGACACAAGAGGACCCGCAGCTAATAAGCGACTCACGGAGGACAAAGACAGCTAACTGCTGAGGGAAGTGGGTCTGGCCTCGGGAAGCCACACGCTGGCTTCAGGTGGGTGGGATTTGAGATGACGGCAGGACTCTCAAGTCACTAGAACAAGAACAAGACAGCTTCAGATGAGCATCGGGTGGGCAGCTCAGGGTGTGCCCCCAGTTCCAGCTACTGGGCTAAAGCGCTGAGGGAGAGGCAGAAACCCGAGGGCTCCAGTCCCTGGGGTTAGCAATACCGAGAGAGGTATCTGACAGCCATCAGTCATGGTGTTGAAGATTATCCATGCTTTTGTCATTGTGAAAGACAAGCCACCACACATGAGCCAAAACATCACAGACATCTATAACAAGGCACGGTGAAATGAGAGGCAGATGCCTTCCTGGGAGAGAAGTACAATGGCAGGAGTACACGGAAGGGTTACTCTGAGGAAGGGGCCTGTCAGGCAAGGGAGAGACAAACACCCTGAGCAGAAACTATGACCCGGGGTGGTAAGCTCCTGGCATGGTATGCCCAGGCTTCATAGATGTCTACCACCCCTCCTAGTCAGACTGTGCCTACCTTCTGAGCAAGCTGCCATGTTGGGTGGGCCAGGGGAAATTTTGTATTTGTGTGGCTGGAATAAGAAATTATTCATTGGGCAGGAGAATGGAAACAGAGAGTCTCTGGACTCCTTTAACATTTCTTCTGTGCTTGGGCCAGAACACTCACTGTCTCACAAACATTCATTATTGTATGTACATCTCTCAGCGGAGAGATAAAGAGATGAAAAGGCAGCACGTCTCAGCTCTAGAGACTTCCATGTAGGACAGAAACGAGCCAAACTAAACAATGACAGAACAGCACGGAGGTTGCTGCGAGGTGTGGAGATGTCTCCCCAGCAGCACTGGCCTCGAGGCGGTACTTGAAGGGTGACTCCACTTCCTTTTTAATCCACAGGAGGGGCTGTCTCCATGCCATCTGTTGACAGTGAGGGTCATCGGCATGAAAAATGTCCGGCAGGCTGATATGCGTAAGTATCTTCTCCGCTCCGCCCCCCCTGTTTTGGGGGTCCGGATAGAGAAAGACCTGGCTGCAGCCAGTCAGGCGTATGTCTGTGTATGGCATTCCATAGACCCTGAGCCGTTGCTGTGTAGGACCAGTGAGTTTAGGGGCTGCTGTGGTAGAGCAGTAGAAGCCCTTTAGTGTCATGGAACCTGTCCAGCAGCTCCTCTCAGAGCTGCTTCTCAGGACACCAAACCGGGCTCTTGAGCCCCAACAGAGTCTGTAGCGTCCAGAGCTGCAGCCCAGCCTCCGCCATGTGGTTGGATATTGAAACCACTGGGCAGGAAGTCCTGGTAGATCAGCTTCCCCTTCTCCTTCATCTGTCTCCTGCTGCATCTCCAGGCCACAGGAGCTCAGGGAGCCTCTGCTTTGAGAGGAAATGAAGCCACTGGACTGGGCCAGAAACGCTTTACATGTCTGTTATGGTGTGGTGTTTAAGAAATCAGTTCTCACCTCACAGGGACCTCTGCTTGCTTGTAGGGAGAGAAAGCTCTATGTCCAGGGTGCACATCTGTGGGAGCTGCAAAGACTAAAAGGAGCATGGAGGCCCTAGTGTCTGAGTGGCCAGGTTATGAGCATCTGGGGACCTGGAAGCCTGGGCTGAGGAGGAGCAACCTAAGAGAAGGGGCTCTGTCTTTGGAGCACCTGCTGTGGGCTGGCCACCAGGTATCCAAACACAGTTCAATTCTCCCCACACCTGAGTGGTCATCACAGGAGGCCCACTTTGTAGGTGAGGGGTTCATGATTGCCTGAGGTAGAATTGATTCTAAGCCTGAAGGGCTGGTGAAGAGAGGGGCCCCTCTGGGGTAGTGGTTCTCAAATTTCCTAATGCTGTGACCCTTTAATACAGTCCCTTACGTTGTGGTGACTCCCAACCATAAAATTATTTCACTGCTGTTTCGTAACTGTAATTTTGCTACTGTTATGAATCATAATGCAAATGTCTAATGTGTGCAGGATATATGATATGATATATGATATGACCCACAACTGAAAACCACTGTTCCCTAGGGGAAAGATGCTGTGGTCAGATCATAGATAATCAGAAGATAGATAGAAAAGGAATCTGCTGCATGATTTCCTGGGGATTGCATGACTTCCGGATACTCATGTGCCAATCATGCTGGAGAGCAGATTGGAGGGAGAGCAGGTATGGAGGAGTGACAGCCCTGTAGTCCCAGAGACTGCAAAGTGACAGATATGATTCAGACTGAGCCTACAGAGCATGAAGCATTCAGGGCCCGTGCCAGTAGGAACAGTTCCAGCAAGCATTAAGTTCGGCTTGTGTCAGCCAAGGGACCCACTACAGAGCAAGGGATCCTCAGATCCTGGGGACTTTCTCAGTACACTGTGATCTAAGGAGCCAAGAAGTGTGCCCAGGACTAGATCATCCAGCTTTCCTGATCATTCCAGAACAGGTCTCACTCTATTTCTTCTTGGCAGAGGTCACCTCTCCCCTCAGCCCTAGCTCCCACACACCTTCTTCCTTCAACTTCTCAGAGGTGTGTCTGTTTCAACCCCATCACCAACACAGTCACCCAGGATGCTCATTCTCAGTTTTCATGCCTGTACCTGTATGCAAGACCTTCCATTGTCCAAGGCCCTTTCTTCTGTCGTGTCCCTGCCACGCCTGTCCCCTGGAGGCTGGCAAGCAGTGAGGCAGCCTACGATCCGGCTTTACCAGTCTCTTTTCCCCTTCACTGCATGACCCTTGGCACACAGGCAGACTCTGGGGTTCTCTTTGAGATCCCCTGGTTTGTGTTTTTCTCACCTCCCCTAAGGGACAAAAGGCAGATATGGTGCTGGCAAGGTCACGTTGCGTCTGGACTCCACAGTTGTCCCAGGCTAGGCTATGTTACTACCTTCTAGGGTTCAGTGGGGATTATTCTGACCACTCTTGCTCAGAATGACCACCTTCTAGCTTAAATCCAAAATGAGTGGTTTAGACATCTAACTCATGTCTGTTTTTCTGGAGATGTCAAGAGGCTGATAGCAAGAAGTATTCGGAGGTTCAGGGATGACACCCCACTTGCCAAGAGCTGAAGAGTACCTGTCCCAGGCCAGAAGGCAGGCACTCCTAGAAACCCTCAGCCACCAGGTGTCTCCTGTGGTAAAAACAAGTTGAAACCCCAACCAGTACCCCAGGGCCATCAGGCAGGTACCTCAAGAGATATTGGGGTATCCGCTGGTAACCACACAGGAATGTTCTGAGCATCTGTGAAGATAATTAAGTCATTTCTGCCACCTACAATTCAAGGAAGGGAACATGTCATTCACATGACCAAGCCCTCTGTCACTTCCTGGGAAACAGGGGCTAGAACCTGCTTTTGCCTAGGAAATCCCAGGCCTTGAAATTCCCAGCTTAGTCACCTCTTCCGTGTGACCCATGTGGCAGTGTTCTTAGCTAATGTGCCTGCCTCAGACTGTCCCCTGTCACTCCTCTCTCCCCGCCCTTTGCGCCATGTGCTCCTTGTTCCCATTCTTTAATGTACTAGGTAGAGGAAGCTTTCCGATGAACCCTGGAGTGTGGGCGTCTGATCACCCGATCGACCTTGTCACTGCCAGGAACGTTTTGTTGTTGCTGCTACTGTCTGTTTGCTGGTTAGTTCGTTAGACCGAGTCTCACTAAGGAACTGAGACTGGCCTTGAACTCTGGTTCCTCCTGCATCTGCCCTCCCAGTGCTGGGGTTCCAGGCCTGCAGCAGCATGTCCTAACTTGGTTTCTGTTGCTGTGACAAAATACTGACCCAAAGAAACTTGGGGAGGAAAGGGTTTATGTCATCTTACAGAGTCCAGTCCTTCGCTGGGGCAGCCAGGGCAGGAACTCCAGGCAGGAACGGGGCAGCAGGAACCGAAGCAGAGACCATGGAGTGGTGTTGCTTACTAGACTGTTTTCCCTGGCTTGCTCAGCTTGCTTTCCTGTAAAACCCAGGACCACCTGTCCAGGGGTGGTGCGGCTCATAGTGGGCTGGACCCTCCCATGCCAGTCATTAATCGAGAAAACACCCCCACAGACTTGCCTATAGTCCGATCTGATGAGGCAATTCCTCACTGAGATTCCCTCTTCCCAGATATGTCTAGGTTTGTGTCAAATTAGCTAAAACTAAGCAACACTCACCACTACTCCTGGAAAGAATATTTTTTTTATCTTCACTTGGATGTAAGCCAAAACACTGAGATATTATTTAATGGATTCGGTGAGAATTTTTTGGGCATGGGTTGACAAAAGAGGAGCAGTTTTAGAGAGACAAAGGCCTCTGCAGGGTCCTTTAAGTCATACATGCTGAGTGGCCTGACAGAACCAATAGGTCGGCAGAATCCCACTGTACAGAAAGCAGAATTGAGAAGAGTGTTCCAGGCCCAGGGGGACGGGCTTGGGACCAGGAAAAGCGAAGGGATGGGTCCCAGAGGACGGAGCAGGTCTCTGGTGAGTCTCCCTTAAGGAGAGCAATTACACACGCTGACTTGCCCACCTGATCTGCTCAGGATCTCTACAGCAGGAAGTTGTTATCCATCCATTTAAAAGTTGTCTAGTGAGTGCCTGCTCTGTCCAAAGGTTGTAGGTCCTGGCCTTCTCAGTGCTCACAGCGTGATGAAGACAGTGACTGGACCTGCCCTGCCGGTACAGCACAGCAAGTGCCCTCTCAGGAATGGCACAGCCAAGGGGCACCTGGCAGGAGCTTGGCACTCAGAGGAGGGGTGCAGAGAAGATTCTGAAACCTTCTAAAGGGCTAGTGAGGAGAAGGGTGGGTTACAGTGGAAAAGAAGGAGCTAGGTGCTGGTGGAGCACACCTTTAATCGCAGTACTCGGGAGGCAGAGGCAGAGGCAGGCAGATCTCTGTGAGTTGGAGACCAGCCTGATCTACAGAGTGAGTTCCAGACAGCCAGGGCTACATGGAAAAACCCTGTCTCAAAAAAACAAAAACAAAACCAAAAAAAAAAAAAAAAAAGAAAGAAAGAAAGAAAGAAAAGCAAAAAAGTAGAAAAGAAGGATGTGAGGGCTGAAGCGATGACTCAGCTGTCAAGAATACTCAGTGCTCTTGTGGTGGACCCATGTTCCATTCCCAGCATGGACATGGAGGCTCACAACCTCCTGTAACTCCGGTATCAAAAGATCTGATGCCCTCTTCTGGACTCTGCAAATTACTGCATGCACATTGTGCATATAGCATGCAGACAAGGACACATGCACATAAATGAAAGGAAGGAAGGAGGGAAGGAGGGAGGAAGGAAAGAGAAAGAAAGAAGAAGGAAGGGAGAGAGGGAGGGAGGGAGGGGGAGGGAGGGAGGGAGGGAAGAGGTTTCTGGCACAAGGAGCAGTAGGTTCCGGGCCTGAAGAGAGACACATAACCCTTTGGAGACTTAAGAGTGACTAAGCTTGTCCTGGAGTCAGAGTGAGTGTGGGTGGGTGTCAGCATGCGTGTGTAGGTGTATGAGTATGAGCGTGAGTGTGTGCATAAGCATATGCAGGGCAGGGTGGGGAGTCAGGAAGGGTGGAGAGATGAGGCTAAAGCTGAGGAAATAGGAAGGAGAGTCATGATTGGTAAGGATGGGACTCCTTCCTGAAGCCAGATGGGAGCCATTAAACTGGGTAGTGTCAAAGTCATGTTTCAGAAGCCCCTTCTCTTATGAGAAAAGGTTGGCAATATAGGAGACAGAGAGCCCGGTGGGGAAGCTCCAGAGATGATGGTGACCTGCACCAAGGTAGGGAGGGCAGTACAGATGAGAACTCAGTGTGAGAATCAGGAGGATGCCTGGTTCCTGGCCTGGGTACCTGAGTCAGTGGGAGAGAACGAGGTGGGCCTGGAGGGGATGGGCTTTGGATCTCACCAGATGGTGAGATCATCATTTTCTTCTCATTCTGTCAAGGTTTTGTCTTTCTGTGTGGATTAAGTCATGGTTAGGACAGGTACGGATGCCATCCTCTTACCTTTACTCAGTGGGAGGAGGGCTGGGAGTGTCTTTTCACCAAATGGTGAGTTATCAGAGACTAACTGTGACCAGAAGCCAGAAGACATGATGCAAAATGGGGTTACAGACACTGCAGAACTTCTGGTGCAGTGACAACATGGGCTTCAGTCCTGGGGGTGGGGGTGGGCTCTGCTTCCACTCACACAGCAATTACTAGTGAAAATTATGAACTAGTTCAGTCCCAGCCTTCCCAGCCTCACCACCTACAGGACTTCTGACAGTGGAAACTATCAACTTTCACTACATTCTACAGATGTGGTTTGCACCCTAAGACTTACCCCAGCAAAGACAGTCCTGGTACCTCTTCCTCCCTCCTCCCAAGAATAATGGCATGAGGAAGCCACTTAGGCTATCCTTAGTCCTGTCTATTCTGCTACTCCTACCAGAAGAGTTACACTAACTTCCATTTTGGAAAGTCGTATAGGAGTCAAAGCTGTTTCCCTTCCCCAGGACACACGGAGCAATATCACACTTGCTTTGTTCATTTAAAGGGGAAGAAGGCACTTGGCCACAAATATGAGGGTTTCCTGGATTGTACATCTCACACTAGGGGATCAGTACCATATGGAGACCCCACTGAGGGCAGCTGCTTTAAATCACATGGAGACATGGCCTGTGCTCAATGTTTCATCTGAACCCCTTCCCACAATGGCCCTTCTCGGCTGACCCGTGGAGAGCTATGCCTCTCCTCTCCACGGCTTCTCAGCTCAGCTCTACTTTGGTTCCCTGGTGCTAAGGCCACAGGTAAAGTGGACCTTTGGAGCAGGTCTTCTAGGTATTTCCCTGACATCTGGAGCACTACGTAGCTTATCATGTTCCAAATCAACAGGCATAGATTAGTCAGGGTTCTCTAGAGGAACAGAACTGATGTAATGAATATTAAAAGGGGATTTATTTAGAGGGCCACACAGAATGTGATCTGAATAGTCCCACAGTGGCTTTCTTGTGATGGGAAAGTCTGAGAATTCAGTAGTTAGTTGTTCAGTCCATGAGGTTAGCTGTGTCACAGTCCCTATCTAGTGCTGTAGATCTGGAGTATTTCTGGAGAGACACTGGTCTTTAGTATATATTGGCATCCCAAAGAAGTTGGTCCCAATATTGGTGTAGGAATGCTGTAGCAACAGGAGAGGTGGTCTTGTCAGTGAGGATGAGGGCAAGCAGGTGAAAAGCAAGTTTCCTTCTTCTATGTCATTTTATATGGGCTGCCACCAGAAGATGTGGCCCAGAATTAGGGTGGGTCTTCCTGCTTCAAATAATCTGATTAAGAAAATTCCTCACAGGAATGGTCCAAAGCTTGGGTTTCAGTTGATCCTAAATTAGTCAAATTGACAACCAAGATTAACCATCAAAGTGTTTGCTCAGAGCCTGGGGTACTTCCACTTTAGGTGACCCTTGTCCATGACAAGGTCAGCAAGACCTGCCCCCATCCCATGTAAAGTCTAGTCCTCAGTCTGTGTGGTTCTAGGACCAAGTCAGAGAGGTTGACCTTTGCATCAGGAAAAGATTAGCAACTGAGAGGAGGCTCTGCTCTAGGAGAGATTTGTCTGACGTTCTTTTGACTTCCATCTCCATCTCCATCTCCTTTCTCTTCTACCATTGTTGTCCTTGGACAGTGAGTCAGACAGACTGTTTTGTCACCCTCTGGCTGCCGACTGCCTCTCAGGAGAAGCTGAGGACCAGAACCATCTCCAACTGCCGACACCCAGAGTGGGATGAAAGCTTCACCTTTCAGGTCCAGACTCAAGTAAAGGTGAGCCACAGAGGACCACACCTGCGTGTCCTGCCCACGTGTCTGCTCCCCTCTCTGCCACCTGTCCCTCCCCCACTCTGTGTCCCTCTTAAGGCTGTTTGTCTTCCTACATGTCCTACTCACCTGTCTTCCCACTCACCTACTATTTCCTTCTTCCTATGTGTGTTCCTCTCTGAGTCTGCTAATCCTTTTACTCTAGCTTCTCCTGTCCTCCTAATTGTTGTTGGTCCTATCTCGTGTTCAGAAAAAAAAAAAAAAAGTGTTTTCAGTACCTTCCAGAGCATTCTCCCTGCAGGAGAATACACAGTAGGGAAAGTCATTCTATTGGCCAGGTCCGACCTGATCTAATTTCAGCCAGAGGCTTTCCTCTTAAATCTGTTCTTTATTGCTTTAGTACTCTTCTCTTATTTCTATTTCCTCAGGTGTGCGCTCTTTCACTCCTTAAGCCATTATTTCATGGTGTTGTTTTTCTTCAGCTATATGGTGGGTCTAAGTCATAGTCACATTTCTTATAGAATTCTCCTTGATCATCTTGAGTTGAGGCAGCCTTGAGACAAAATTAGCCTGGTGATGAAGGCATCAATCCTGAGATAGTGGAGGCTTGACACTCCAGGTAACTATAGTTCTAATCCATGAAGAGTCCTTTCAGTTTTCAAGAGGGTTGTGATCATTATGGTTGTTTTTTTTTGTGTGTGTGTGTGTGTGGTTTTTTTTGGGGTTTTTCGAGACAGGGTTTCTCTGTGTAGCTTTGCGCCTGTCCTGGAACTCACTTGGTAGCCCAGGCTGGCCTCGAACTCACAGAGCTCCGCCTGGCTCTGCCTCCCAAGTGCTGGGATTAAAGGTGTGCGCCACCACCGCCTGTCTCATTATGGTTCTTAAAAAAAATACCTCTTCACCAGTTGTGGTGGCTCACACCTATCATCTCAACACTCAGGAGGTTGAGACAGGAGGATTTCAAGTTTGAAGTCAGCCTGAGCGGCACAGTGAGACCTTATCTCAATAACATAAAGTAAGATTCCTTTTCTATGATGTACATGAGTCTGGTGAGGGAGAAAGATTTCCATGTGGATGTAGTGTGCCACCTTGGAATCAGTGTTTAAGCTTTCTTTTTTGTTTTGCGGTTACTGGGTTGCTCTGGTACATATGTAAGTTTCTAGAAATTACAAAACCAACAGGTCCTATATAGTTGAAGATGCCCAGAACCACATTTATATCCACTAGATAGAAATCTAGGAGGAACCTTGCCTTGAGTCACAGCTCCCAGGATCAGAGGTTAAGAGCCTTAGAAACTAGTCCATGCCACCCAAGGCCATTGAGTACAGACCACTTGCCACTTGAAGAGCTGCTTTGGGATTGCGCATGAGATCTTATTAGGGGCTGCTGGATTAAAGAATAGAATTCACACAACTCACCCCAATCCCCCCAGTCACTGGTACCACAGTAGCCTTTGCTGCCCGCTTCCCTTGGAGTACCAACTCTTAATTTCCTGGGCCTGCCTTTTCTAGCTATCTGCAGCTCCCAGGTGTCCCATGTCTTGTAGGATCGTGCTTGGCTCTTCATCCTTCCCCAGGTGAAATGAAAACCCTCTCTATTTTCCCCAGGCTTCTCAAGCTTTTCAAGGGACCAAAGTCTCCTGAAACCAGAGCAGAGGGGTGGCAGTCTCTAGAGAGCTGGGGAGCAGGGGAAAGACGCTTCCTCCCTACAAACGTCTCTGGCATCCAAGCAGAAGAGTCTGTGCCCTCCTTCTGCAGACCTCTTTCTCTGCTAGGACTGAGGTCCTGTCCCCTGTCCTGGGAGTGGGTCACTGTAGCCATGGTAACCAGGTTTCCACTGTCCCCTCTCCTCTAGAATGTACTGGAGCTGAGCGTCTGTGATGAGGACACAGTGACACCAAACGACCATCTCTTGACAGTTCTCTACGACCTCTCCAAGCTCTGCCTTCGGGATAAAACCCACGTGAAGTTTCCACTCAACCCAGAGGTGGGTGCCGATCACAGACCCCGAGCCTCTAACTTCATGGGGAATAGCCACTGACCACCGTGCTACCCTTGCACGGGCTTCTCTGAGCACATATACAAACTGGGAAAAGGATATGCTTCTAGTTCAAATCCTAGCACTCCCTTGCATGGAAATGACTTAACTCCTCTCATTTTCTACTTCTTCATCCATGTCACAGTGACAATAGTCCTCCAGGCAGGATTGCTGTGAGGCTTCAATGAGAAAGGGTAATGAAGGCACCTAGCAGTGAGTGTTGGTGATACTAAATAGAAACGTGGGTTCCATTTCCGTTTTCTTACCTCCAAGTCCTGTTTCTGGAATGCCCTCGAGGTAGAGAGGGCAAGTCAGAGAAGTTCAGAACTGGAAAGAACCAGGGTATTCTAGATTCAGCCATCCAAAAATACCTGGGTGCTTGGTGGTGAGGTGAGGTTCTGGGCTTTGGGCATACATCAGAGGGCAAGCATCTCTCTCTACCTTTGCTCTGTGTATTCGGATGGGGAAACTGAGGCCCAGTGAAGCCATGGTTCACCCCCCATTACACAAGAGGTATGGAAGCAGAGGTAAGGAAACAGGCCTGCCTTGACAAAGCTGGGCTCTCTAAAGGCACCAGCTCAGAGCTCCCTTGCCCAAGCCCTGAGCCCCATGAGAAGACAGGCAAACAGTGGAGAACCGTGAGTTGAAATAGAAAACCAACACTCTGGGACAGAAGAATGCATATTCAGGGCCAGGTGTCACATCCACACCTGAGTCCCCTGCATTGCCAGTGCTGTGCCTGGTGTCAGAGACTGGGACAAAGAGAGGTGGAGAGGGCAGGAAGAGCTGGGAGCAGCCATTCCTTCCCTGTGGGCCCACGGGCAGCGCATGCAGGTCTGCAGGGGTTGAAGAGGGTCCTTGGAGGGAGGTCTGCGGACGTGGCCGACAGCTCCTTCCCTTCTCTCTCCTCAGGGCATGGAAGAACTGGAAGTCGAGTTCCTGCTCTCAGAGAAGTAAGTAGCATCAGCCCCATGTGTCATCAAAGATCCTTGACTTCAGAGCTGTGTCTGCCTGTGTGCTGCCCCCCCTTGTCCCAGCCTCACCCCTGCCTCTGTGCTGCCCTCCCCTTGTCCCAGCCTCACTGCTGCCTCTGTGCTGCCCTCCCCTTGTCCCAGCCTCACCGCTGCCTCTGGCACATGTGCTGGCTTTCTCCATGTGTGCCGGGTCTCTTGGGTGCCCAGGTCCTAAGACTATTCTAGTTTCACTGACGCCAGTATTCTTTTAAAGATTTATGGGCTTGGGCATATAGCTCAGTTGGTAGAATATTTGCCTAACATGGACAAAGCCCTGGGTTCAGTCCCTAGTACTGTATAAATCAAGTATGGTAGCACACACTTGAGACCTTGTCTCTCTCTGTCTCTGTCTGTCTCTGTCTCTGTCTCTGTCTCTGTCTCTCTCTCTCTCTCTCTCTCTCTCTCTCTCTCTCTCTCTCTCACACACACACACACACACACACACACACACACACACACTTCAGTGCTTGCCTCAAGTCCACAGCATTTCCAATAGGAGCCTCCTAGAGAATTCCTGCCACTATGGTATGGGGGCAGGATAAGGGTTCTCCTCTTTGACCCAGAACTATCAGAACAAACATAACCCCTGGCCAGAACAGAAGAGGTGGGCGACAAAACCCAAATCTGGAGGCTGAAGAAATGGCTTGATGGTTTAGAACACTTGCTCTTCCAGGGGACCTGGGTTCAATTCCTAGCATCCACATGGTGGCTCACAACCACCTGTGACTCCACTTCCAGAGGACCTGATGCCCCCTTCTGACCTCTCCTGGTACTGCATGCATACAATATTCATACTTAGGTACATCCTGCATACATGCAAAAAACCCATACACATGAAATAACAAAATAATTTAAATTTAAAAGCCAACCCTATTTGCAAAATGTATACATTAATTAAAGCACAGAAGCTTTGTTGGTACAAGAGTATTTGTGTCTGTTCTAGGTGAAGGGCTGTAGTTTACTGGCCTCGAACCTGTGCATCTATTTCCCCCTGGACATTCTGTTTTAAATGTACATCACTTTCCTCCTCCACAACCTACAGATCTAGATCTAAGTTGGAACAGGTCACAGAGGCTGGCTTAGGGCTCTGATCCTCCTGCCTCTGCTTCTCGGGTGTCGAGTTTACAGATAGATGCTACCAAGTCTGCTTCAAACCTAGTTTTTCAAGCAGATATTTCTCATGGTAACTGAGAAGCATCTGCTATTTTATGACTGATATGATTTATGGCTTTTGTCGCCTTCATAAGAAACCATCCAAGAATATTGTTACTGACAGAGAGCTCTCTTATTTTTCAGTCTCTCTTCACCAGAGATGCTCATCACCAATGGCGTGCTTGTGGTAATTATCCTTCTGGGCTCTGGTCACTCCAGAGGCCACATGTGGCGGCTGCTCTCAGCAGAGAGGGTATTGTGCCCAGCTTGGAGCCTTGTCCTTATGCTGAGCCCAGGGAGAATTAGACCAAACAGTTAACTAAATGAGGTGCACCCAGGGGTGGGGCTGCACTCTGGGCTCCTGGATCAAGGCAAGAAGTATGAGGGTATCACCCTTGCCCAGCACCCTACATTCCCAAAAGATCACCCCTTTCCCAGACTTAGTCACTCACAACTCCAATACCTCTGCAAGCATGATTTCATTACTGAAATTATTTCTTAGGCCAGGTATGACAGCACACGCTTTTACCAGCTCTCGGGAGGCAGAGACAGGCAGATCTCTGTGAGTTTGAGACCAGCCTGGTCTACATAGTGAGACCCTGCCTAAAAAAAAAAAAACAACAACAAAAACAAAAACAAATAAACAAAAAAACTGTTTTAACTGAATGTACCCAATGTCCCAAGAAACCTCTCTCTTAAAAAGCAGTGTTTGGAATGTGTGGCAAAGGCCTTTGTCCAGCCTCTGCTTCTTGGAGGTTATTTCATTCCAAGTCCTTGTTTTCAAGGCTGAACACTGCTTTAGGTCAGCCCCTGATGCTCCTGTAAGCGTGACTCCCAGTAAACCGTGATGTGTGCCCTGGCGTGGTCTCCCCCCTCTTGGAGTGAGGCACTGTGCCTTGATTGGGTTCAGAATTGTCTGCAGCATGCTCAGTATCCAGCATGCTCAGCAGAAGCCCTAGGTTAACCAACACTGAATTCATTGTCTGTGTCTTTGCCTCTTCCCTTCGAACTGGAAGCGAGGGGCGTGGCTTGTGCTTCGAGTCCCAGTGACCCTCTTTGCTTTGTCACAGTCCCGCCAAGTCTCTCGCTTGGAGGTCCACGCAGAGACCAGGAGGCCGAGGAAGAGGAAGAAAAGTGAGAGTTTCCCTGCTCTGTCTAATGGCGGGTTTGGGCGTGGGGGCGGGCGGGCGGCTTCCAAGCCGCGTCGAGGTCAGTTTGGAGTTCAGGGAACCAGGTCAACTCAACCTAGTCTGGGCTGTCCTGGGTTGGGGAAGTAAAATCAAAACTCTCAGAATCGTTGTGTTCTCAGACACCTAATCTCTTCTGCTGTCTCTGTGAAGAGTGTGTTCTTCCAGGGACCCAGATGGAAGTCCTCAGGTCTGCCAAGTGTCCTGGGGCCTGGGGCTCAGGGCTGCCCTGTGTACTCAGACAATGGCAGCACCCGGGGCAGGTGGGCACCGCAGCTGCGGGGGTCCTCAAGCCAGACCTTCCTAGGAGCTCCCACTTCACAGCATTTTCCAGTTGGAAGAGACCTAGCGAGTCACACACACGGCTGTCCACCACTCCCCACCTCTCTGATGCTGGACTTCCAGCTGTTCACAGGAGAGTGCTTGGCGCCACAGACACAGGCCAGAAGGGAGGGCTTGGAGGGGCTTCTGCCCCCATCAGACTGTCTGATGGGGGTCTGTTTTCTCTAGAGTGGGCTGGTGACTTTGACTTTGGCGGGGAGAGGCGCTCTTCTAACAAAGCAGAACCAAGAGGTCTAATCTTCACTTAACATCTTGGAAGGCTTTCTGGAGAGCATATCTGTCGGTATCCTCCACAGGCCTTGTTAAAATACAGATTTCAGGGCCCTGTCTGAGGCATTTTAATGAGTGCCTGGTGATTGTGAACCCCTCCTGGCACTTCAAGATAGGATTTTTTTAAATTTTTAAATGTATTTATTTTATCTTATGTGTATGAGTGTTTTTTTTCTGTGTGTATTTATGTACACCAAGTGCATTGGAGCCCCTGGAACTGGAGTTTAAATAGTTGTGAGCCACTGTGTGGGTGCTGGAAACCATACCAGGGTCTTTGAAAGAGCAATAAGTGCTCTTAACCACTGAGCCAAGATAGAGGATTTTTGCTGGGCTAAATCAGAAGCAGAGACAAGAATCTTCTCATGGGTCTAACTGTATCTTCTTTCTCAGATAAAGACCTCCTGGTGATGGTGACAGACTCCTTCGAGAATACCCAGTGTGTCCCACCCTGCCTGGAGCCCTGCAGTGGGGATCCGGCCTGTTTCCACTACCCTAAGTACTTCCAGCCCCAGCTGCAAGCGGAGGAGGCACCTGAGAGCTATTGGAACTGTGGGGTACGATGCAGCCACAGCCAGAAGGCAGGGTGGAGGAGGGGAGCTGGGCTGGAAGGGCTCATGGAGGAGCCGCTCAGCCCCTCACAGAGCCCACCCATCCTTCCAGCTTTGCTGCTGTGGAACACGCAGGAGTGGCCCTGTCTGCCAGCCCCTCGACTGCCTTTCTGATGGCCAGGCAGTGACCCTGCCTGTGGTGAGCACCTGGGTCTGGGAAGGGGTCCCAGAGCTATCTAGCTTCTGTAAGAGGGAGATGGGACGAGCCCAAAGACACATGGGGAAGGTAGCATGTAGGGTCTCTCATATGGAATGGCCTTGTAGGCCTCGGTGGGAACCAGGAAACATGTGGCGCCTGAGTGAAGAAGGTGAAATGTTAGTATCTAGAAGCAGGATGTAGGAGGGGAGCACGCGCACAGGATGTGGGAGGGGAACATGCGCATAGGTGTGTGAGCATGTGTGTGTAGATTGTTGTGAACATGCATGTGTGCAGACTCCAGCCCATGAGTGAGTCATGTAGTAAGTCTCCACCTCTTTGGGTGGGCTCCTTTGCTCTCAGTGGCCGTCCCTAACAGGCGTTTCCCCCTTTTCTCCTCAGGGAGAGAACTATGAATTACACATGAAGTCCATACCTTGGTAAAGTACCCTTTTCTATCCTACCCCTAACTCAGGGGAGCAGGGATGACGTGGTGTCTCGCTGTAGATTGATTTGATTATCTTCAGTGGCTAATGAGGTTGAGCATCTATTCCAGAATGACTCGGCCATTAGTGGATCATCCTTGAGACATCTTTATCCAAATCCTTTGCCCATGTTTTGAGTGGGTTCTGTCTTGTTATTAACTTAATGAAAGTTCTTTGTATATTCTGGATACAAGTATTTTGTTTTTACCCCTGTTCTGTGGGATCTCTTTATATTTTCTCTGTGTATGGGCATGTTGTTTTATATTGTGTATGAGTGTTTGTTTACACATATGTATGTATGCCATGCATAGCTAGTGCCCACAGGGATCAGAAGAGGGCATTGGGGACCCCGAAACTGGAGTCACGAATGGTTGTGAACCACCATGTAGGTACTGGGAACTGAATCCAGGTTGTAACTGTTGAGCCTTATCTTCCAGATCCTCTTTCCATGTTCTTTCTTTTTTTTTTTTTTTAATTTTTTTTATTTTTCAAGACAGGCTTTCTCTGTGCAACAGCCCTGGCTGTCCTATCTGTAGACCAGGCTGGCCTTGAACTCACAGAGATCCACTTGTCCCTGCCTCCTGAGTGCTGGGATTAAAGGCGTGCGCCACCAATGCCTGGCCTTCTTTGCATTTTCTTGGTGGTGTCCTTTGGAAAAAAACTAAGGTTTTTAGTTTTGATAAAACCTATTTTCTTTTTTTGTCATTTGTATTTTTGATGCCAAATCTAAGAAATAATGCCTACTCCAAAATCATGAAAATTTGCTCCCACGTTTTCTTCTAAGATGTCTTTAGTTTTAGCTCTCATGTGTAGGTTATAACTGATTTTTGTATACTGTACATTTTACATGGGGATAGCCAACTGCTCCAGCATCATTATTGAAAAGACTTTTCTTTGTTAAATTTCACCCTTGTTGAAAATCAAGTGACTATATTTTTTATAATTTTTATTTTATGTGTATGAGTGTTTTTCTTGCACATAAGCCTGTGTGCCACATATGTGCAGTGCTAGCAGAAGCCAGAAGAAGGCATCCTATCCCCTGGAACTGGAGTTACAGACAGTTGTAAGATGCCATGTGGGTGCTGAGAACTGAACTCAGGACCTCTGGAAGAGCAGCCAGAGCTTTAAACCTCTGAGCCATCTCTCCAGCCCCTTGTCTGTAATTTTTATTTATAATTTGATTTGTTATTTTTCATTAGAAAAATTACTTAATCTCACTGGGTCTCAGTTTTCCTCATCTGCAATTCAGATTGTTCTTTGAATCTCATGAATTAATGCATGTGAAATACCGGGAATCTAGATGGTGAATGGGATTCTCAGCAAAAGTCCACCATTGCTACTGTTATTATTTATTCCCATGACTGCCAGAAGAAGTTATTTCCTCATAGGAAGAGAGGTGCGGGGAGAGCCCAGGCTGTGCCTTCAAAGACACTCAGCTTTGTTAGTAAGCTAAGGGAGGCCAGAAATTGACACCCCCTTGGAGTCTTAAGGGAGCTAGGCCTCAGAGGATTCAGGAATACGGGTAATAGAAAAGAAAGTGATTCTATGAAGGTGAAGACCCTAACCAAGGTTCAGAAGTCAAGCTCTGAGATTCCGATGGGTCTCTTCCGGTTGGTAGCTTGAGGTGAGCTTGGACAGATCTGGTCAGGTCTTATATGCCAGGCTTGGTTGGACTGGATAAAAAGAAGGCATACATCAGGCATGTCATGGTAGCTGTGCCTCATCTGCCTCGAAGAACTGTGGGGCTGACACAGTGGGATCAGTGTGAGAGGCTTTGTCAGTTGCATAAATACCAGGAGAATGGTGATTCTGTGGGCAGGAAGGGCTCAGAAGGAGCAGGGAGCCCCACAGGAACAGAGGACGAGTTTGTGGGGCTCAGGAGAGTCCGCAGTCTATAGTCCTATGGGGGGGGGTATCAAAGGAATCTAAAGGACCCTTGTCACTCATATCCAGCTTTGGGATAGAGAAGGTGCCTAGGGAAACCTTTTGGAACTTTCCAGATCCTGCTGAGGAGGCAGGAGGTTCAGAGAGGCCCAGGAGTAGTCTTCAGACAAGTACCAGCTTATTATGAGCCAACTAAGGTTCAGGGGCTTTGTGCCTGATGTCTCATTAAGTACTGAAGGTAGTTCTGGCCAGTAAGCGTTTTGCAGATGAGAATGTAGATGCCCAAGGTCGAAGAAGAGATATATGGCAGAAGTGGGCCCCAAAGCCACATCTGCCTGCTGAAGGTGGTGGCTACAGGGTCCCCTTTCCCACAGCCCTAACTTGCTGGATGTGCGGCTCGGATTCAGCCTGTGCCAGGAAGAGGTGGAGTTTCTGCAGAAACGGAGGGTGGTGGTAGCCAAGGCACTAAGTCAGGTGCTGCAACTGGAGGAGAGTCTGCGTGAGGATGAGGTGGGTATGCAGGGCCACTGCCTGGCCTGAGGATGAGGTGGGCACACAGGGCCACTGCCTGGGCTGAGGGTCACTCTGGGCTACACCGGTCCCCCAACTCCATGTTCTACTCTATCCCAGGGTGACTACACTACCACCTGGATTTCTGTGTTTGCTCCAACTAGTGAGGGGTAGTTCCAGAACACTGCTGCTTGTGATTCTGTTGTGTGTTCACCAGGGTAGGGGTGGGGGCTTCTGGGGCTGCACACACACACACACACACACACACACACACACACACACACACGCACGCACACACGCACACGCACACACACACACGAGGGGGCTGGGGAGAGGGAGGTGGAGAGAGAGACTAAGCTGTCTTACTGACATAGCATCGAGATGGTATTCTCACCCAGCCAGGAGACATTTTCAAGTTCCAGCACCTCAGGCACCCAGCCCAGCCTTCACCCACTTGTTCTTTCTTCCCTAATGTGCACATGTGCCCATCCCCACCAGAAACGACAGCTGAAGGAAGTTGAAGAGAAGCCTCTTCCCCTGGAGGCAGCCATAGCACCTCTGAACCTCCATCTGTTAGTCCAGGGCACAGGTTAGCCCCCGAGCACCTTGCTTCTGAAGCTAACGAGAATGTAGGCTGAGACAGGAACAGGGCTATGACAGGGCTTCAGCTCCAGGAAAGATCTTACGGTCCCTGCTAGATGGAGATAGGAAGCCTCCCTTAAACCTATGTTACTCCCCGCATCAGAAATGTGGGTTGGTTTTTTTTTTCTCTCTTTCTCTTACTCTCACAAATACTGTATAGACTGAGCATGTATCACATGCCAGTTCAGGGACTAGTGCCCCAACATCACTGCCATGTATAGGTGTCAGTCAGTCACCATCCATGATCCATACATATTCCCCTTAGCCTCAGTTTTAACATCTATTAACAGGGAGCTGGGTTGAGTGCTCAGAACTCTTTTATTTTAATTTTTTTTTTTTTTTTTTGAGACAGGATTTCTCTGTGTAACAGTTCTGGCTGTCCTGGAACTCACTTTGTAGACCAGGCTGGCCTCGAACTCACAGAGATCCACCTGCCATGAGATCACTCCATGTCCTTGTCTGGGGAGGAGTCCTTTCCAGTCTGTTCTGTGCCTACAGGTACCACTGATAGCCGTCATGGCCACAGGAGGTGGCACAAGATCTATGGTTGCCCTGTATGGCCACCTGCTGGGACTGCAGAAGCTGAACCTTTTGGACTGTTCTACTTACATCACCGGCTTGTCAGGTGCAACCTGGTAAGGAACTGGGCACCATTGTTGGTGGAGCCCACAGGAAGTAGCAAATGGGTGTGGCCTGGGATCTGGTAGAGCTCTGAACTTTCCCATCCCAGGTAAAAGTGATTCATGATGCCTGGAAAGCTCTGCCATGCCCAGCTGTGGGATTTGGGACATTCAGTTTAATTCCTTATACTCAATTGCTGGATCTGGAAAGTTGGGTTGACAGTAGGCTTGGCCTTTCCCAGTATTAAACACAGAGCCGCTGTATACATTGGCCATTATTGGCTATGTCCTTGGGGCTGTGGCAGCAGCCCAGAAAAACATGGTGGCCAGCCATGAGTGAACCTGGTGTTGCCGTCCGTCCTGGTGAGATGCAGTCACCCTCTTAGGGATGGGCCCAGTCTCTCAGGATGGGTGGAGCTAGGCCAATTGCTCTGGCTTGCTTCCCTGCAGACACTCAATACTATCCTTTCTCTGTATCTCTGTCCTATCAGACCCCCTCAAGCAGCAGAAAGGAATAAGCGGAGCTTGCACAGGGCTGCCTCCTCCCATTCTGCTGAGACAGGAGGGAAGTGGGCACTGGACTCCCAAAAGGAAGCCAAGGAAGGTCAGCCTTAACAGTCGGCATAGCACCAGGAGCCAAAAAAAAAAAAAAAAAAAAAAAAAAAAAGTTCGTTTATATTTAAATCATAAGGAATAAAGGAGCTTGTAGGTCAATGAAAATATTTCGATGAATGTCATTAATACAATTATCTTTATATGACATAGTCATAGCATAGACCTTTTAGTATTTTTTATAGTGGAAGTGGTTCACTAAAATCATCAAGCAGCCCTGTGACCACAGGAAGCCTCTTAGCCGGAGCTACACCTTACTCTGTCAGGGACTGAGTGAGCCCTGCTGTGTCTTTTCTCTTGATGGAGCTCCAGGTAGCTGTTATCAGAGGGACTGGATGTGAACTTGTCCTGGGAAACCCCTTGGCTCATATCTACTCATCAGATGCTTCGGCTAGATGGGCCAGAAGGTTATCAGGGCTGCCCTCTACACCAGGCACAGCTGTCCATCAACATCCAGGAGGGAGTGGTTACAGGATATCCAGGGGGATATCACTGTCCGCTGATGTTCAAGCCCCTTATGTACATGACATGGTATCTGCATAATGAAGCCCACACAGTCCTAGCAGGTACCTTAAGTCGTCTAGCACCAAATCCAATGTAGTCGCTGTGTAAGTAGATACTTAGTTCCATCTCAGTAACGACAGTCCATAGAGGCTCAGTAAACAGGAAGAAATTTCTGAATAATTTCCTTCTGCAGTTGGTCGGTTTCTAGATGAAGAAGCTGCAGGTCCACCCATAACTTCCCTCCTGTTATTTTACAGACAGAGAAGCAGAAGCGCTTGCCCCAGGTGTCAGGAGTCATAGGCCTGGGATTGGAATTCAGTCCAGGGCCCGTGTTCAATGGCAGCTCTCAGCAACAAAGATAACCGCAGCACTAGAGAAGCACTCAGCTATTAAAAGCACATAACTGCTCTTGCAGAGGATCCACCTTCAGTTCCCAACACCCATGTCAGGCAGCTCACAAGGGCCTGGAACTCCAGTTCTAGGGGGAGCCAATGCCTCATACAATTTTTTTTTAAGATTTATTTATTCATTATGTGTACAACATTCTGCCTGCTTGTATGCCTGCACTCCAGAAGAGGGCGCCAGATCTCACTATAGATGGTTGTGACCCACCTTGTGGTTGCTGAACTCAAGACCTCTGGAACAGCAGTTCGTGCTCTTAACCTCTGAGCCATCTCTCCAGCCTAGTCTCATATAATTCTTATAAATAATAATTATTATACCTGACATGGTGGCCCAGCACTCAGGAGGCAGAGACAAGTGGACTTCCATGAATTCAAGGCCAGCCTGGTCTATATAGCAAGTTCTAAACTACCCAGGGCTACATAGTGAGACCTCCATCTCAAACAAAATAAGTAATGATAATAAAATAAAATATGTTTAAAATGATAACTTGCTTCAGCAGGCCTGGCGGGGGCGGGGTGTTGTATTTGCTTGGACTACTGTGTGGTAGGCAGAACAGAGAGAGGGCTTCAGGCCCAGCCAGAATGTTAGGGGAAAGGCTCACAGGTCCCCTGTACTAGGAAAAACATGGGGAACATAGATTTTAAACAAAGATTAGCAAGCTGAGGGTGGCGGTGCCTGCCTGTTACGCCAGCACTCAGGAAATACAGGCAAGAAGATCAGGAGTTCAAGGCCAGTCTCAGCCACATACTGAGTTGGAGACCAGACTGATCTACATGAGAGCCTGTCAATAAATGAAAAATAAGTAAATAAAGCACTAAATGGGTTAGGGTAACTTTTTGAAAGTACAAAAATAACAGAGAAAACTTCATGGAGGGCAGGATGCTATTTGTAGAAGAAATCTGACCATCTTCCATCTCCTTTGGAACCAGTCCTGAGAAGGAAGAGGCTCCTGTTTGTATCATTAGGATCCTTAGACAAATCCCCCTGCCACCAGGGAGCCCTCTGGAACAGAATAAAGAGGGGCCCTTCCCTATGTTGACATACAGAAGTTTGGTCCAGGCCAACAGAATCAGAGAGATTCAGAACCCAGCTAAGGGGATCACTGACCTGGAGAGAGAGGGTTGGCATGCTCAGGGTCATGGCCTGGGTTTTTTTTTTAACTTTAGTTTTTTAAAATTGTGTGTGTGTGTGTGTGTGTGTGTGTGTGTGTGTGTGTGTGTGTGTGTGCGTGCACATGCCCACATGGAGGACAACTTGCAGGAGTTGGTTCTTTCCTGTCACCATGCAGGTCCCAGGGATCAAACTCAGGTAGTGACGCTCGTCGGCAAGCACCTTTACCTTCTAAGCCATCTTACTGGCCCCAAACCCGGGCTTTGAACTCAGTCAAGGGCCTCTGTCCAAAGGCTGCTCCAAAATAGCTGTAAAGTTAACTCACTTCAGCAGAGCCATGTCCCAGCTGGACTTCTGTGGAGCAGGCAGGAAACAGAGAGGACCTTGGGCCTAGCCGTGCTGCCCACCCACCATAGTCCATAGATAGGTTAAGAAGAAAAAGAGGAAGTGGAGAATGAGAAAGGGGGAGAGAAATGAGGGGGAAGAGCAAGGAGAGGAAATAAATCATCTCAAAGATTATTTATGCACATGGGTGTTTTGTCTGCATGGTTGTCTGTGCGCCATGTGTGTGGCTGGTGCCTGCAGGGGCCGAGAGAGGCATCGGATTCCCTAGATTTGGAGTCACTGATGGTTGCAAGCTCTTGTGTAGGTACCGGAGATTGAATCTGGGTCGTCTGGAAGAGCAGCCAATGCTTTTGACCCCTGAACCCAGGAAGTAAATCTTTAATTAGCGTCCAAATCATGGGGATGAATATGGTACAACAGAAAGTGTCCAGGATCTGGAATCAGCCATTCCAGGGATCAAGTGTTGTCTCCAGCCTTGTCTCACCATAGTTCTAGTGTTTCACACAACGGTAACTTTGTGACTTTTTTATTTTTTTTACAAGAACTGTATGAACTGGGTACATCAATCACAATTCTCACCACTTCAGTTAAGGAAACAGAGGCAAAGAGTGCTTAAGTAGTTTGTCTAAGACCACATAGCATGTGAATGGTAGAGCCTGGTTTTGAACCCGGGAATATGCGAGCCCAGAATCCTCATCTCAACCAACAGGGGATTCCTGATGTACAATGGGCATTCAAGAGAGGGAGCAATCAATTCTGAGAAGTGATGTCTGCCTGCCTCTCACCACAAGGCCTTTCTCATTCCGTCTCCTCCAGGCCCTCTGCCAGGTTGGGGACTCCCCATGATCTGCCCATCTTCTGCCCTATCTGGACATGGGGTTGATCAGATCAGGGCTGGGGTAGCTCTGTTAGCTGTGTGTGTGTCTCTCTCCAGGACTATGGCTACCTTGTACAGTGATGCTGAGTGGTCCTCCAAAAACCTGGAGTCTGCTGTCTTTGAGGCCCGGAGACATGTTGTCAAAGACAAGATGCCCGCCCTCTACCCGGATCAGCTCTGCAAGTGGCAAAAGGAACTCCGCCAGCACAGCCAGGAGGGCTACAAGACCACTTTTACAGACTTCTGGGGCAAGCTGATTGAGTACAGTCTAGGAGATAAGGTGAGTGTTCTGCCTTTCCCAGGTCCCACCTGCCTAGACTGATATCAAGTCACATTCTTTCTTCCTCAGAGAGTATGAACCTCCATGGCCAAAGATGCTAGGTTAGGCTTGCAGGTACGTCTCAGGCTGGAAGAATCATGGGGTGTCCAAATACGTATTGGAGGAAGATGGTGAGGTCATCTTTCACATCCTTTTCAGAGGACTGAGACCCCCATGTTGGGCCAATCTGGGTGCCCCCCGCATAGATGGAGCATAGCTTCTGAAAGCCATATCAGAACATCTGTGGGAGAATATTGGTTGTAGTATTAAGGCCACTCCACGTAGTTAAAAGGGAGGTTTATTTTGTGGGGTAACTTACAAGTAAAGGGATAGGTTACAGGGTCCAGGAAAGGTGTAGTGCAGTCCAGCGGTGTTCTCTGGAGAACTCTGCTCCATCTACATCCAGCGTCCAGGATCCAGGAACCAAGCTAACTGGCACATCCGGATCTCAGGTCTTAAGGGCTCCTGTCTCAGCCCCGGCTTGTAGGCGTGACAGTTACTGAAGCCTCAATGGGGGTAGTACTTCCAGGTCAAAGCTGGAATAGCTACCCACTACAGGAGAATACGAGAAAGAAGCTGGGCAAAGCTATAGAGCTGTCAATCACATTTCTAGTCTGACCCCACGTGGAGGACAGAAAGGTCAAATAAAGCATGCACTGTGTGAGAGCTGTATGGCCTAGGAAGGCTCACAGCAAGGACTTCGTGGGTCCTTTAGTCAAAGCTATGGTCTGTATTCTGTGTTCCCTGGATGAGCCTGCCTTGGCATCTCATCACTAGGCCCAAGGAAATGTGGCCCCAGCATAGACAACCATAGATTTCAGAAAGCAGCAGCCAGGGCCGTTCAGTGTTGTTCTTGGTCACTGGAGGTCTGCAGGGTTCATGTTCATGGCCACTATAAGGAGAGAGACCTGGCAAGGTTCCTTCTTATTCTAAGAGTCAATAGCTAAGTGATGTTCGTGGCCACTATAAGGAAAGAGACCTGGCAAGGTTCCTTCTCATTCTGAGAGTCAATAGCTAAGTGATACATGTCCCCCAAAAGCCTGCCTGTGTGGGGTACAGCTGATGCCAACTGTGTGGGATGTGGCAGAGGGGAGTGGGAAGTCCCTAAGAGATGTGATCCTGTACATCAGGGTGAATTCAGCCAATACCCAGATTTGTCACAGCAGGCTTTAGAAAAGAACCACCTCTGGTTGTTGCTTGGCTCCAAAGCAAGTCTCCCACTTACCTCCATCCAGGCCACCAGATCTTGGCCCACTTCCAAAGGTGTCTTGGAGGCTCTGAATTCAAACCAGAACTTCCCAGAAGGGAGATGGACAGCATAATATCTTCCAACAGGTTCCCTCGGTTAGGTAATCAGATATTGTGGGCTGGGGAAATAGCTTAATGAATCAAATGCTTAAGTGCCCAAACTTGAAGACTGGTGTTCAGATCCCCAGAACCCACGTAAAAGCCAGGCAGACATGGAACTCCCTGTTATACCAGCACTCGGGAGGCAGAGACAGCAGCCCTGGGGCAAACTGGCTAGATAGAAATCGTTAAGTTCCAGATTCAGGGAGAGACCCTTAATAAATAAAGTGAGAAGCAATGGGGGGAACCATATGACATCACACACACACACACACACACACACACACACACACACACACATGCATGTACACAAGTCTCCCTGCACACATGCAAACATGCATAAGTATATGTGTGCATACCACACATACACACACATTAAAAAGAAAAGGGAATGAGACATTTGGAACAATCAATAATAACTTGATTCATTTTTTGTTGTTGTTTTAAGATAAAGTCTCACATTATATAGCCCAGGCTAGCCTGGGACTCACACTGTAGCTCAGGCTGGCCTTGAACTTGTGGTAATTTTCCAGCTTCAGCCTTCCCAGTGCTGGGATTATATCCATGTGCTACTACACTGGGCCAGCTCTTATTCCTCTTTCGTTTTTTAATTTAAAGAAGATTATTTAGATTTATTTTTTGTGTATGAGTGTTTTACCTCCATGTGTGTTTGTGCACCACACGAGGACCTGGTGTCCACAGAGGTCAGAAGAGGAGCCCACAGATGTCCTCAACCAGAGCAACAAGTGCCCTTAACGGCTGAGCCACCTCTCCAGCCCCCATTCGTTCTTTTAACTAATTACCCCTTGCATGCCAGGAGCTATGCTCACCATGAGGATTCTGAGAGGAATTAAGATGTGACCTGCCTTTGAAAACCCCTCTCTAACCTGATCCCATGATGAAGCACAGGTCGGGGGCAGAGGTTAAGGGTGTTGGCTTCTGATTCAGATAAAACGGATTTGGAATTCTTTCCCTGCTCTGCAGGACCAGGGTATTCACTATTCCTTAGTGGGAATTCCATCAGTAAGTAATTAACATTTTTAAGTTAAAAGCTGAGCATGGTAGCACATACCATAACCAGTGAGGCAGAGGACTGCCTCAAATTCAAGGCCAGCCAGAGCTACCTATAAAGATCCCATTTCAAGCCAGGTGTGGTGGTGCACGCCTTTAATCCCAGCACTAGGGAGGCAAAGGCAGGCAGACCTCTGTGAGTTTGAGGCCAGCCTGGTCTACATGTAGAGCAAGTTCTGGGACAGCCAGGTTATTTAGAGAGACCCTGACTCAAAAATAAACAAACAAAAGGACCCCATCTCAAAAGAGAAAAAAATATTTTTGAGGCAGATTCTCATTATGTATCCTTGACTGGCCTAGAACTCACGATATAGACCATGCTGGCTCAAATTCACCTCATGTGTTCTTTTTTTTTTTTTTTTTTTGGTTTTTCGAGACAGGGTTTCTCTGTGTAGCTTTGCGCCTGTCCTGGAACTCACTTAGTAGCCCAGGCTGGCCTCAAACTCACAGAGATCCGCCTGGCTCTGCCTCCTGAGTGCTGGGATTAAAGGCGTGTGCCACCACCGCCCGGCGGCCTCATGTGTTCTTGTGTTTCACCTCCACGTGTGTACCTGGTGCCCATAGAGGTCAGAAGAGGGGCTTGGATTCACCTGCCTCTGCCTCCCACATGATGGGATTAAACGCATGCAGTATTGCAACTGGCACCAAGAAATGTTTTTAGCAATAATAATAAACAGCAACCCACATGATGAGAAGAAAACGCCAAAGCGTTCTGGGCCAGAAGTCCGAGTGTGTTGCGGATCTGGAGTGGAGAAGAACTAGGCCAGAGGAAGAGAAGCAAGGCTAGGAAGCTGTGAGAAGCCCTCTGCTCTTGCACTCTGGCTATGGCAGGAGCCTCTTACCCTCCAGCCCCCTTAACAGTAATAGCTGGCTGGGCCCTTCCCTGAGTCTGTGGCTTTGTTTCTAGAATATTCAACTCTGTATTGCCCAGATCTCTGGGTCCAGTTGTGATAAACACCGTTTTGCTTTAAAGAAGGCCTAAGGGATGTTGGGTGGCACACATGTTCGCCACGCCGCCCAGGTTCTGGAGTCAGTGCGCAGGGTAACCACGGTCAAAGCTTGGGTGCCTAGGACCTCAGCTTTGCCGCATCTGCACTGACTGATGTTCTTTGGGACAGTGAGTGGCCCAGGCCTACCTGCAGGGCTTGTCACGCTGGTTCCACAACACAGGACTCTGAGGACTTGGGGCTTGCCCAGAATGTCGCCTGCTTTTAGGTTTCTAAGCCTCCAGTTGAGAAAGGGGGTGGGAGAGGAAAGGGAAAAAAGGGAGAGGAGAGAGGAAGAGAGACTTGCTTCTTAAATTTTAAGAGAGCCCAACACACCAAGTTAATAAGACAAAAATTCCTGGCGCTGTTTGGGTTCCAGTGGTGAGTGGGAAGTAATGGCAATAAAAAGGGACCGTGATGGCTTTTCTTACCGTTACCATATCCTCTAGCCCCTGAGATGTGAGAATCCTAAGACCCCAAAAGACGGCCTTCAATTACAGAGCCAGCCCCACCCCACTTACGGCCTGTGTTGCCAGACAGCCCAAGATGACGTTATATATTCTTCAAGTGCATCTAAGAGTTGACATCTGGAGTCACTGCTGCTTATACAGCTGCCCGGGGTGGGGTGGGAGTGAGGGGCTCCGGAGTCTGGATGTGGGTTCAGATAGTTCTCTTGTCCTTCACTGACTGCTTGCCAGCCACCTCTCCTAACCACTGGTGTCCCTACAGAAATATGACTGCAAACTGTCACAGCAGCGTGCTGCTTTGTGCCGGGGGCAGAACCCTCTGCCCATCTACCTCACCATCAATGTCAAGGATGACGTAAGCAACCAGGATTTCAGAGGTAACACCGGTGGTTAGTGACTGGGGCGGGGGTGGGGGTGGGGGTGGCTTCTTGGCGGGTACAACACACACTTTGTCAATCTCCACATCAAGAAATAGTGCCCCACAGCTGAAGAACTCTCCTTCATGAAGGGGGCTGATTTCCCCTGGGCAATGTTCCTTAGCTTGCTGGGGCTTATCTGATGGGTCCGTGGGAAATGGGTGAAGGATGAGACCCTAAGTTTTTGTTTTTGTTTTTAGGCTGCCCAAAAGGGGAGCCTAGAAGGTTTAGTTTTTGTCCCTGTTTATCCGGCTTTAAGGAGCAAGCCAGTTTGTAGAGCTGTTTAGTCCAGCAGCAAATGCCCCCTTGTGTCCCACATCGGAATTGCGCCTTGCAATTCCAAGCTCCCCGTGGCCCTGGAGCCAGCACTGGAGGGCTGGGGGAAGAAGGGCTGTGTGGATAGCTGCCCAACCTGAGACTGATATTGCTCCCTGTGTACAGAATGGTTCGAGTTCTCTCCCTACGAGGTGGGCATGCAGAAGTATGGGGCCTTCATCCCTACCGAACTCTTTGGTTCCGAGTTCTTCATGGGGCGGCTGATGAAGAGGATCCCTGAGCCAGAGATGTGCTACATGCTAGGTAACTCTCTAGGATGCTCAGCCCCAGAGCTGGCCAGGCCCGCCTTTGACAGGGCAATGACAGGGAGAATCTTGTCCCAGCGCTGATTGCCTTGGTTAGTCTTGAACTCTCGAACTTCCTGGTTCTGCCACATCACATTAATCCAGGAGGGACTCCTGAACCTACTTCCGGATTGTGACTGCCCTAATCTTCCTGCAGCCCTTTAGGCCCAGAGAGACATCAGTAAAGGGACCCTCCAGGACTCTCCCAGCACCCTGGTCTCCTGTGGTCTATCTAGATCTAGAAGCAGCCTGGGTGTGGAAGCCTGTTAGAAAACCACCGTCCTGCCTTTCTCCCTGTCTGCCTCCAGGCAGCAGTGTGCCTGCTTCCCAGGAAAACTCAGCCCCTCAGATCCCAGGCAGAGGGGGACCCCAGCAGAAAAGGCAGGGCCACTGGGAAAGCCTAGCACAGCTCCCTGGTCTTTGCTCCCTGGTTCCTCAGAAGCCAAGTCACTGAGTACAGGGGTCCACTGTGACATCCAGTCTTTGTTCTTTGCTTCAGAGTCTCATCTGAAAAAAAAAAAGAAAGAAAAAAAAGAAAGAAAGATCTATCTTTATGGCTTCAAGAACAGCTATTCGCCAAGTGGTGGTGGCGCACACCTTTAATCCCAGCACTTGGGAGGCTGAGCCAGGCAGATCTCTGTGAGTTCAAGGCCAGCCTGGTCTACAGAGCGAGCTCCAGGACAGGCACCAAAACTACACAGAGAAACCCTGTCTCTAAAAAACCAAAAAGAAAAAAGAAAAAGAAAAACAGCTATTTAAACTTCTTTTATTTAAATAGGATGTCTATATTCCACTTACCCCAAAGCAACCCATTCCAGAAAGTCTAACTCGAGTCCCATTTCTTCTATGTTGTTGGTTATTTTTTATGCTTATTATTCTTTACTCTTTTGGGGAGCCCACCACCCAGCTCCCAAATAAATCACATGAAGGCTTACTCTTTCTTAATGCCTGGCCTTAGCTTGGCTTGTTCTTGCCAGATTTTCTTAATTTTAAATTATCCCATCTACCTTTTGCCTCTGGGCTTTTTCCTTTTCTTACTTCTGTATAACTTACTTTCACTCTCACTCTGTGGCTGGCTGGGTGGCTGGGTGGTTGGGTGGCTGGGTGGCTGGCCCCTAGAGTCCTCCTGTCTCCCTCCCTCCCTCTCCTGCCCTCCCCCTCCCCCTCCCCCTCCCACTCCTAGATCTCTCCTTCCATTTATTCTCTCTCCCTGCCAGCCCCACCTATCCTTTCTCCTGCCTCACTATTGACCGTTCAGTTCTTTATTAGACCAATCAGGTGTTTTACACAGGCAGAGTAACACAGCTTCACAGAGTTAAACAAATGCAACATGAAAGAATGCAACACATCTTTGCATCATTAAACAAATGTTCCACAGCATAAACAAATGTAACATCTACAACATACAGCACACAGTTCTTTCTCTCCCCTGAGCCCCTGGTCTAGAGCCCATGTGGTTCTGAAACCTGGAGTTCATCTTGAACCCTGGTTCCTCACTTGTTAGCTGTGTGAAGTTGCCTAAACTGCCTAATTTCTCTGGACCTGTTTCCTCAGGTCCATGTGAGAAATTTAAATAGAGAATATAATTGTTAGTATTGGCTTGTTATGATAGCCCAGGTAGGCCCAACGCTTACGATATAGCCTAGGCTAGTTCCAAATTCTTGTCAATCCTCTTGCCTCAGCCTTCCTACTGGGATTATAGATGTGAACCACCACATCTGGTTTTATTAATATTAATATTATTTCATAGTATCATTATATAAATTTTTATAACCTTATAGTATTATTATATAAATTTTACATTAAAAAATAAGAGCTAGCTTTGTGTGTATCAAGGCTTACTGCATGCCAGACACTGTCTTAAGTGCTTTCTCAGTGTGAACTGATGCAAAGGTTCGAGCTGGGTTTGAACTCAAAGCCCGCACTTGCTGACTGTCAGCCCCGTGCTGTGTCTGTGTCTGGGGCACCCTCCTGCTCCCTGTACTGAGGGAAGGGAGAAAAAGACTGGCACCATCAGACATTGCCTGGAACTGCTCAGTGGGAGACAGAAATCCAAGTCCGTCCCACCTGCAAGCAGTCTGGCCTGGAGTAGGCATCTAGGCTAAGGCTGGACCAGTGAGATCTGGGTGTGGGGACAGGGAGCCTGGGGAGAGTTGCTCATGGCTTCTCTGCTTCTCTAGGTTTGTGGAGTAGCATCTTCTCCCTGAACCTGCTTGACGCCTGGAATTTGTCCCACACCTCCGAGGAGTTTTTCTACAGGTGGACAAGGGAGAAACTGCATGACATCGGTGGGTGACAGCCTGGTTTCCCCCCTTGGGTAGTGGATCTATAGTGTATGGATCATGAACTAAGGACTGATTGCCTGTCGCTGTTTCTACATCATCCCGGGATCCAGACAAGGGAAAGCAGTTGGGCTACAGCATTTTCCTTCACTGGTGGCAGTGGTGGGGGCAGGGTGGCTATAGGTGGTACTTATGCCGGGGCCCAGAAGGATACCTCCAACATTCGGAGAGCTGATGGTCCTAGGGACCTGTGAGCACAGAGAAAAAGACAAACTTCTGGGCTCACCAACCTCCCTGGAGCCTTCCTTCCTGGGTATCCTCTCTCTCCCTCTCCATGTCCTCCCCACCCTTTCTCATACCTCTGTTCTGAGTCTTCTTGGGTTCAGAACCAGGGCTTGGGCAAAGAAAGCATGAACTGCACTTAAAGTGGCTCACTCTCATGGGTCAAGCAGTCAGGTGCCACCCCAACTTCTGTAACCTGCCCTCCATCCCTTCCCCCTGCAGAAGATGATCCACTCCTGCCTGAAATCCCCAAATGTGATGCTAACCCCTTGGAGACCACAGTCGTGATCCCAGCATCGTGGCTGTCCAACACTTTCCGAGAAATCCTCACGCACAGGCCCCAGGTGTCTGAGTTCCACAACTTCCTGTACGGGATGCAGCTGCACACTGACTACTTACAGAACAAACACTTCTCTATGTGGAAAGGTATGCCCGCTTGGGTGCCCCGCCCGCTTGGGTGCTCCTCCAGGGCTGGCTCTGTTGGGAGGAAGAAGAAATAGGTATTGAAGCTGCCATAGAGAAAGATGGTCTCCTGAGACAGCTGGCTTGTGGGGAAGGCGGGGCTAGTCCCTTTATGGCTGAGGGCTTGAATGAATACGGCTCTGCCAGCAGAGGGCAATGCAGGCATTAGTTAATTGACTAACTGCATTATCTGAGCAACAGTCCCAGCTGCGGAAGTTGGCCCCATTGTACAAACGGAGAGATGTGAGCTCTTCTGGCAATACCTTTTGGGAACACCTTTCACTGTGAGTGGTGCCCCCATTGTAGTTGAGCAAGTACAGCCTAGCTCAGCCTCACAGCCCCAGGCCTGAAACCGCACTCTCATAGCTTTGACTCTGTATGCCTCTCCTTGCTAAGGCTTTAGGGACAAGATCTAGTGTGCCTCCTCTCCCACCACATGGAAATCTTTGATGTTTTATTTGGCCACAGCCCGCAAAGTCCTTCGGTCTGAGCTATTATTCTTGTCCTCGCTGTCTGGAGCAAAATGGGCAGCTGGCTCCTTGTCCATGGGTATCCCTAGTTGATAGGATGTTAAGTCCCTGCTTCTCCACAAGCTCTACAAATGGGTCATGGCAGGTTGTGTGCATAACCCACAGAAGACTTACTAAAGCCTCAAGAGCATGCTGCGATATGTCAGCCTACCCAGAGAAGTAGGACTCAGTGTCCTGGAGAGAATGTGGGAGGCTAGAGGCCCAGGCTGAAGAAAGCATGCTCCAAGCAGGGTATTCTGGCCATGTCAGTGCCTCCACCCGACCCGTAACTGACATCAGGGCACCAGGTACGATGTTAACTAGAAGGCTTGACTTTCAGACACAGTGCTGGACACCTTCCCAAACCAGCTGACACAGTTTACGAAACATCTGAACCTGCTGGACACCGCGTTCTTTGTCAACTCCAGCTACGCGCCCCTCTTTAGGCCGGAGAGGAAAATCGACCTCATCATCCACCTCAATTACTGTGCGGGATCCCAGACCAAGGCAAGTATAGCAGCAACAGCGCCAGCCTCAGCTGCTCCCAAGCTGTCACAGAGTCACTGGCACGACCTTAAAGACCTGTGCAGCTGTCACGTGGGAGGGTGCTCCGCTGGCACACTCTGAGGCTGCGTAAGGACCAAACCTCACTGGCAACCAGCTGGCTCTCACATGCTGGGACTTGGGAGTTTGTTTGAACTCAGTGATGGCAGTTGTATTATTGCTTTTAAGCATCTGATGCACTTGGCCATTTTTTCAGCTGAAAACAATCTTGATGAGTTTGTAATATCTTGTTTTCAAAATAATCTTAGTGTCCATGTAATCACAGGACCTCCATATGATTAAACAAGTGACCAGTGGTGGTATTATTATTATTATTTGTTTTCTCTTTAAGGGAAAACTCTGGTTTTTAGTTTTTCTTTGTTTCTTTTAGTTTTGTTTTTTTTTTTTTTTTTTTTTTTTTTTTTTGGTTGACTTTGATACAATCCCATCCTGAAGCTAGGGAAAGAAAAGGAAATATAGACAGATGTCTGGAATGAAAGCAATAACCATGTCCTAGGTTTGTCAATAAACAGCAGTGTGCTTCCCTACCCAGGCTCTCACTTGGTCCTTGCACCAGTTCTGTGTGGTAGACAGGACAGCCGCTATTCTCCTGAGGTCACAGAGGAGAGGACCTAGACTAAGTAGCTGGCATGCTGGAGGGGCATGCAAATAAGCCAGTTGTGGGACTTGGGGCTCTTTGTGACTTTAAAGGTATTTTTTCAAAGTCCAGCCCTTGGACATTGTCACCTCCAAAATCTCTGAGTGGCCAGTCAGGACTCCAGGCAGCCAGGTCCCCGTGTCCGTCAATCACAGAGGCCACCCGTGTGTCCCCAGGTCTGTCTTTGGGTTAAGCAGCCGCAGCAGGGCTTCTGTGTTTTCATTCAGGGAAGGAGCTTTCATCTATATGGGCACCAGCCTGCTACCTGGGCCTTTTGTCCTGACCTGGCTTTCTTCTAAAAATACCACCCACTGGCAAAGCAGTTTGGGACCAGGGTTAGCTAGGAAAGATCAGGAAAACAGACCCAGGAACTCTATATGGCTCACCCACACCCAGGCTTCCAGTGCTCAAAGTGTCCTCCCATGACATTACAGCCCCTGAAACAAACCTGTGAGTACTGTACCGAGCAGAACATCCCCTTCCCCAGCTACGCCATCCAGGAGGATGACAAAAGTCTCAAGGAGTGCTACCTGATGGAGAATCCCCAGGAGCCTGATGCCCCCATTGTGGCTTACTTCCCACTCATCAGTGACACCTTCCAGAAGTACAAGGCTCCAGGTAAGCTCCCTCTATGGTATGCTCCCAGCCTCTGCTGGAAACAGACAAAAGCCCTTGTTTTTAGATGTATAGAATCTTCTGATGACCCCAAAGGGGAGGCCTGGCTTAGTCCTAGTCTGAACCCAGAGAATTCCCTCCATCCTCCCCCATGAACTTACAACATGGTCTCCTGCTCTTTTTTTTTTTTTTTGGTTTCCTGCTGTTTTAGTCATTTAACCATTTACTGATACCTAGCTATGTGGAATCCTGAAATGAATAAATTATGCTCTGTGTGTGTGTGTGTGCCCATGTGAGTGAGTGTGCATGCATGTAAGTGTATTTGTATGTGCAAACACGTCCTTACAACCTACCATAATAAGGATCTATAGCAAATTCTTCTGCCCCAAGGTGTAGAACGGAGTCCTGAGGAGCTGGAACTGGGCCAGATGAACATCTATGGCCCCAAATCTCCCTATGCCACCAAGGAGCTGACGTACACAGAAGCCAATTTCGACAAGTTGGTGAAGCTCTCGGAGTATAACATCCTCAATAACAAAGACACGCTTATACAGGCTATAAGACTGGCAGTGGAGAAGAAACGCATGAAGAGCCAGTGTCCCTCCTAGGCCTGGGGGAGCCCTGTTCATCCTGTGTCTGCTGCTGTTGTCAGGAGCGTCCGCCCACCAAGCCTGACCTCACCCACCGCTGTCCCTGCTCTCCGGCTAGGGCTTCGGGCAGCTTGGCCTGGGCTTTGGAGTGAAACATTACAAAAGGACAATGAGGAGAGAAAGGAAAGGAGGGGTCTGTCAGGTTTGTAGCCCTGGAGTTTCTCTCCACTTCCCAGCCTGGAAGGTGCCATGTGCGCAGGCTCCCACCCAGTCTCAAGTGTAGAATGTCAATGTGTGGCCACACCGGAGTGGCTAGTTCCCAAGAGACCTCACCCTTAGAGCTGCAGGCAGAAGTCCCCTAAGCCTCCCTCCTCCCATGACCAGAGAAATGCCCAGGAAGACTGAGAACTGCTCTAAGTTCCTCTGGAAAATGCTTTGTAAATTTAAGGTAATTGCATCCTTGGAATTTGTGTTGTCAATAGTATTTTGTGGTTTATTTTTATTTTTATATTTTACTATGATGAAGAGAGTATTAGTAGAAAGCCTGGTCTCTGCCACAAACAGGTCAAACAGATGACCAACCCATGTCACTGATGCCTCTTCAGCTGCCAGAGCCCTGGGCAACTCAGCTCCAGTGAAACCAGGCCCTGCCAACAGTGCAGCAGAAACCCACAGAATAAGGATGTAGGATGCTGTTCAGGGAGGCCTGGGCAGGCTGTAAGCAAGGGGCACCAGGTACCAGTCCAGGGCCTGAAGCTATCCAGTACCGTTAGTGCTTTCAGATCTTCCTCTGGCTTCCAGGTGGAGTTAATCATTTCTAAGTATGAATCCTCTCATTTATCACAGAAAATGCCACAGCCGGTTGCTCTAAGTTCTTATACAGTGACTCAGAGAAAAAGGCTAGGAAGGACAGCCACACAATGGCAACTTAGGACTCTGAGAAAGACCTCAGCTTTGGAGGGGAGTCTCTGGGGGGGGACCCCTGAACACAGAGACACCCAGATCCAGGCTTCACTAAAGGACAGAATGGGAGCCCCTGGGGTGAGAAAATGGAAGCTGAAGGGCAGCTAGGCATGCGGCCTGAATGGAGCGCAGCGTGCCTGGAGGACAAGGCCCTCTTTCTGAGCCACATGATCCCTCCACAGTCCTTGGTTGTTGAGAGATTTTTGTGTGTTTGTTTTAAATGGGCTCCTGTTTCCATCGTTGCTATTCAGAGCGTGGTTGGGGCCCGGCTGTAAACCCAGCCACACTGACAAGAACCTGTACTGTGAAGAGACTGGTGCCCCCCTCTCCTGCCCCCAGGTGACTCCTATGTGAGTAACGTGGGGGAAGAATAGATTTACTGCACGTTTCCATCAGCTTGGAGAGCAGGAGGCCACAGACTCCTTTGAGGTATTGATAAGCTAGGCTTCTTGGCCTGCAGAACTGGTCCCTACCCACGCGATGCTGATGTGAGTTGGATGTCCCTCACCTCCTCTAGCCCTCCACAGGAGGAGCTGGTTGCCATTGCTTTTCCCTCCCTCATGCAGGGAACAGGCTCTGAATGATCAGAGAGAGCCGGAACAGGACCTGCACTTTGCAAGGTGAAGGCAGCCATGCCTTGGACTTGCCATAGCCTGTGACATGTGTAAGATCACTGTACCGTTTGAGCACAGAATAAAGTGGTCATGAGGGCGAATGTTGCTCCATCTGCTTTCATTATCTGATGCTCCACAGCACTTCTGACCTGGACCCCCATTCTTTCCTCTACCCTCACTTCTGCCCTCATCCCTGCAATTCTCTGGTCTTTCTTCTCCCTAGCGGTTACTAGAGGAGGCCTGGTCTACCTAAGCCTCTTCAGAGAGCTTTGTTGCCTGCTCCTCAGGTGAGGCCTCCCCTGTTTTTATGAACCTGGGGCAGGCCAGGATGCTTCCAGCCCATGTGTTCCGCAGGAAGAACTGAAGGGAGCCAGATGATAGCCTGTACCAGTGGGGAGCGCATGCTATGCACAGCCTGTACCAGTGGGGAGCACATGCTGTGCACAGCCTGCATCAGTGGGGAGCACATGCTGTGCACAGCCTGCATCAGTGGGGAGCACATGCTGTGCACAGCCTGCATCAGTGGGGAGCACATGCTGTGCACAGCCTGCATTAGTGGGGAGCACATGCTGTGCACAGCCTGTACCAGTGGGGAGCACATGCTGTGCACAGCCTGTATCAGTGGGGAGCTCATGCTTGAGCACAGCCTGCATCATTGGTGAGCGCATGCTGTGCACAGCCTGCATTAGTGGGGAGCGCATGCTTGTGCACAGTCTGCATCAGTGGTGAGTGCATGCTGTGCACAGTCTGCATCAGTGGGGAGCACATGCTGTGCACAGCCTGCATCAGTGGGGAGCACATGCTGTGCACAGCCTGCATTAGTGGGGAGCACATGCTAGAGCACAGCCTGCATTAGTGGGGAGCGCATGCTTGTGCACAGCCTGCACCAGTGAGGAGTGCATGCTGTGCACAGCCTGCATCAGTGGTTAGTGCATGCTGTGCACAGCCTGCATCAGTGGGGAGTGCATGCTGTGCAAAGCCTGCATCAGTGGTTAGTGCATTGGGGTTGTGTTGGCAGTGCGACAAAATCACAGCCCCACACTGTCACTCCCAGCATCCTGAGGAGTCCCCCTAAGCTTTAGGAACATTGGTTAAAGTCAGACTGAGGTTCCTAGCTTCAGCACAGAAAGAATCTCAGGATGACCTGGAACTGTGAAACACAGTTGGTGTTTTTACTAAGGAGATTTTAATATAGGAGGTTAAGGGAAAGAGAAGCTCAGAAGAAAAAAAGACACACCCCAGTGGGAGCGTGCTCTTCCGAAGAGGAAGTAAGGGAGAGTGCCCACGTGTGAGCATAGACTCCTCAAGGGAGAGTAAGCAAACTCTCTTAGCACTAGCCATGCATACATTTTATTGGCTCTCAAGTTACATCTCAAAAGGCTCATACAAGCCTGGCCACCTGAGTTCAGTCCCCAGAACCCACATGAAGGTGTAAAAGTGTGGACTGTGGCACACGGACATATACACAAATATGTCATGCATACTAACATGTTTCTATTTTATTAAGAGGATGGGGGAGGGGGGGCCCAGAAGCCACTAGGGTTAACAAGTGTGTCTTTTCTTTGTAAATGGGATTTCTTTGTAAATGGGATTTCTGGTGAGATTCCTAGAAAATTGCAGGTTTGTGGCTGGGAAGGGAGCAAGGCCTTAAGCATTTGTTGATTGTGATGGAATTCTTGTTCTGATGCTGATTAGAGGCTTCAACTTGATGCTTGGGTGGGAGCTCTTTTTCCTTCCTCATGTCTCCAAAATTTCCCCCTCTCTCTATCCTACCTCAGCAGGGAGGGAACCGTGGAAAAACTTTCCCAGGGCATGGTGGCGGAGTCCCACGCCCACAGCCCTCCTGGGCCCCATTGTACCTGAGTGCTGTCAGCTCCTGTCTCTTCTCCCCGAGCCCTGAGCTGCCCACAGCTTCCTTGCCCAGCAGTCCAACTTGCAAATAACTGGAACATGTTAGTCCTGTAGCTCCTGAGACACAAGAAGGGGCCAACCAATGATTAAACTTCAAGGACCTCCCTTCTGATCCCCCATGGGAGGGCCACATGGAAACTGATCCTCACAGCCTCTGTACACAAGGGTTCAGCAGATGCAAACAGCAGGAGCAAAGAGGCCAGGCTAATGATACCCTCCCTCCTGGTTTCTGCTCAGGAAGAGGGAGTCCCTCCCTGGCTACTCCTGCTCTCCTGGCGGCTGGTGTTCTATGAGGTCCTGTACCTCTGCTCCTCCCCCGCCCCACCCCCCCACCCCTCTCCATACTCTTCTTAGCAATCTCAGCTACACCCACTTTTTCAACAACTCAACACTCGAGTGCCAGCTAAGCTAAGGCAACTCTCCCTTCTTCTAAACAAAGGCATTCTAAGTCTCTCTCTGCTAACGTGGTTTTTACTCTATAACCTAAAGATCTAAAATTAAGCCGCTCAAACAAAACTGAAGCTCTTTGTTTCTCAGAAATCTGGGCCTTTTCCAGCTCTCTATGCCATCCCTAAGACTGCCTTTCGGCCTACCATCACCACCTGTGCCCCACCCATCATGCCTGTCTGCTGAGCAGCAGGGAAGATAAGGGGTCTTGGGACTTTTGGACTATGACGTTACCAAATCAGGCCTAGCCTGTCTGCTGCATCTGAACGTCTTTTCTTTGAAAAAGAACTCAACTCTTATCTAAAGAGAGGAATTACTAGTTGTTCCAGTTCTGGTTTTCTGGTCTCTAACTTTGTAGCCTGTAGCCTAGCCTGGAACTTACAATGTAGCCCAGGCTGCCCTTAAACTCATAGCAATTCTTCTGCCCCAGGATCCCAAGTACTAAGATTGTAGGCGTGTGCCAGCACACCCAGCCTTTTCCAGCTATCCATTTCTCTGAGTGAGGACATAAAATAACCACTGTGTGACTAGGGTCAGAGTCTGTTGGCTCAAGGATCAGGAAGGCAGATCAAGGCCAGCTTCTCCACTCCATGTTTGAGACCTCAGCATGAGTGACTTGAGAAGACTGACGGCTTGCCTCTGAAAAGAAGAACTCACTTCAAGATGGCTCCTTGGGCCAGTGAGATGGTTCAGTGGGCAAAGTGCTTGTCATGTAAGCCTGACTGCCTGTGTTCAATCCCCATAACCCACTTAAAGGTGAAAAGAGGGCTGACTCCACAGAGCTGTCCTCTGACTGCCACAAACATGCCGGGGCAACCATGTATATTCATGCATACATCATGCACATACACAATAATGTAAGTGAATAAATAAAATTATTGCCGGGCGGTGGTGGCGCACGCCTTTAATCCCAGCACTCGGGAGGCAGAGGCAGGCGGATCTCTGTGAGTTCAAGGCCAGCCTGGTCTCCAAAGCGAGTTCCAGGAAAGGCGCAAAGCTACACAGAGAAACCCTGTCTCGAAAAACCAAAAAAAAAAAAAAAAAAAACAAACAAATAAAATTATTAAGTTTTTTCAGTTAATCTGAGTGGGTTTTTTTTTAGATTCTAATATAGTGACATAATTTCTCCTTCCATTTCCTCCCACATACCTTTTCTTGCTCTCTTTCAAATTCATGGCCTCTTTTTCATTTTTTTTTAAAATGATGGCTTTATTCACTTCCCTGACCTGTGTTAGGAAGTCCAGGAAGGTTGGACAGGCTTACCGAGCTGTCAATCAGAGTACCTTTCTGTGGTCTTCCCTGTGGCCAGTCTCCTGGGTGAGATTGAGATGGTGGCATCTGCTGGTCTGTATGACTAGATAGAGAGCACAGAGCTGTGCTTCCACAGGAATCTATTGGGGGAAGTCATCACAAGCCAGGCCAGGGACCAAAGAACTCACCTCCAAATAAGAGACAAGTCAAAAAAAAAACCAAACAAACAAACAAAACATGTGGCAATGTTTTAAATCCTAGCCTGTAGTATTTGAATACTTAAACACAGCCTTCGTCCTCATCTACTAAGTGGACATCACATTCCAGGGTCTGTTGTTAGTATGGTCCATTCTACAGACAAGCTGTTAGGTAGGAATTGCAGTTTTGTCTCTGAAAAGTGGTGGCTCTAATGAAGTCCACAGGGATGAGGACTAAGGTCCCTGCACAGAGTGCAAAGGAGCCTGCTTCTGCTGGCTCTTTGCTTTTCCGTCCCCTCTACAGTTCTTGGCCTCCAAAAGATAGGAGAATTAAAAAAAAAAAATCAAGAGCCAGGCATGATGGCGCACGGCTTTAATCCCAGTACCCTGGGAGGCAGAGGTAGGCAGATCTCTGTGAGTTCAAGGCCAGCCTGGTCTACAGAGTGAGTTCCAGGACAGCCAGAGAAACTTTGTCTCAAAACACCTCCTCCTTAAAGGAAGAGGAAAAAAAAAATCAATTTTCTTCCTGTTAAGAAGACTTCCTGAAAGCCCTACACCTTGGGCTCAAATAACTCTGACTCAGAACTTAGTCTCATGACCACACTTGCCTGCAGGGAACTTGGAAAATGTAGTTTTTTACCTAGATGGCAATGTGCCCGAGTACAAAGTCAGAATCATCTTGCTAAAGGTGTCTTCCCTGAAGAACCTACAAGACACCTATGTCCTCCTAACTACATTCCAAGTGACCTCAGTGACATAGAAAAGTGGCCACAGAGAAAGCAGAACAGGGTTCAAGAGTGATGGAGGATTTCTTCACAGGCCAGAGAAGCTGCTCTCTCCTCCAAGGCCTTTAAGCCACTCTGCAGTGGAAGGCGCTGGCCTTCATCAGCTCTGCAGCCAACCATTGAACACAACCCAAGACAAACCCGTGACCAAGGAGTAAGGACAAAACCCTTCCACTGGGAATAACGATAGAACTTTGACAAATATTACAGTTGTCTCCCATACACAGACTCCATATTTTTTAATTTATTTATTTTTACCACTTTATGTGCATTGGTATTTTGCCATGGATGTCAGGTCTCCTGGAACTATAGCCACAGACAGTTGTGAGCTGCCATGTGGATGCCGGGATTGAACTGGGGTCCTCTACGAAGAGCAGTCAATGCTCTTAACCACTGAGCCATCTCTCCAGCCCCCAGAATGTAGATTTAGAAAGAAGTATGAAGGTAGACTAAGGACTGTTTAGGATGAGGAAAGAGTGCAGTGGAGAGAAGGGGGGGACAGGAGGACAG